TGCCTAGCTATGAGCGGAGTCAGACAAGGTCTACTGGCATGCCCTGGATCCACATTTCTACCTACCATGACACAACACACCATGCTCTCCAGTAACCAGATACTCACAATTGTTGACTTTACCATGGTCTTTACTTTTTGATGACTCAAACTTGTGGTGGCTAACTTTAACACTATCCTCAAGTTCATGGTGTGGCAGGGTATCTGCCCTCACATTTCTGTTCTTTTCTAATTTTAACTGTGACTGTTAAGATATAGACCTAAATGTGATTGGTTCCAGATGGCTTTGTAAAACAATAGTCACTTTTCTTACCATTATTAGATATTTGGTCATCATTTTGTATTTCACTATTATACCCTCAGTACTTGAATTTGTCAGGCACCACTGCCAAATTGGGGTACTTAAATGTTTTAATTAAGACCAGAAAAATATATAGAAATGCCCAATTAAACAAAAAGTCACCATCAGTAATAGTATGGAGACAAACTGTAAAAAAGATAAAATTAAGAAACACACAGGAGCAGGTATTTGGCATAAAGGTTATGATACCACTTAGGGTTCTGCATTTCATACTGGAGTGCTCAGGTTCAAGTCCTGGCTCTACTCCCAGATTCCTGCTAAATGTATACTTTGCGAGGCAGCAGGTCATAGAGTTCAAATGCCTAAGGCTTTCCTTACCCACACAGCAGGCGAGGACTGAACTCTGGGTTCCTGGCTTTGGTCTGGCCAAGTCCCTGCTGTTGCAGGAATTTGGGGGAAACAGCTGGCAAATGGGAAACGTTTCTTTCAATTCTTTTTTAAATTAGTGCCTAGAGGCCAAAGTTACTATAATTCATGTAGATTTTTACGACATGATCTTTTTAGTGACAGAAATGTGCCAAAACCAGAAAACTCAATCCAGAGAATAAATATTGGAATCCAGTAAAGGCCATACATGAAGGCATCAGAATTCAATGAATAAAAATATTTTAAGATGACAACTGAGGCTAGTATTGTGGATAGCAAGTTAAGTGGGCACTTGTGACCCCATACCATGACAGTGGTTCAGGACTGATTCAAGTCCAGTCTGCTCCACTTCCAATCCAGAACCCTGTTAACAGACCTTGCAAAGCAGCAGATGTCCTAATTGTTTGCATACTTGCCACCAATGTGGGAGACCCAGACGGAGGCCCTGGCTCAGTCCCAGTCACCACAACTATTTCAAAAAAAAAAATCAGTGGATACAAGATCTCTTTCTCAGTGTTTCCCTCTGTCACTCTTTCAAATAAATAAACTTTTTAAACAATTTTTTATTTCTGTGAAAGAATGATAGAGGGAATGAGAGACAGATTTATCCACTGGTTAACCCCCCAAATGCCCTCAAATGCCAGGGCTGGGCCAGGTGCTTCTTCCAGGTTTCCAATGTAAGTAGAGGTGCTGGGGCATCTTCCACTACTTTCCCTGGTATTTGTACAGGGTGTTGGATTGGAACCCTAACAGGAAAGCAGGGTCACTGGTATTGCAGGTGGCAGCCTTTTCTATTATACCACCAGAGTAGCCCAAATAAAATGTATCTTCCAAAAATGAGATTAGCAAATTAATTTGAAAATCCACAGCTTTAGGGATAAATTTTATACAAGCCTTTAATATGCTCCAAATGTCATTAATCTCTTCAAGCCATTTTAGTAAAGATTTGCAGCATATACAACCAAAAGATTCCTCATCTATTATCTATGGCAGATTCATCTTACAAGCACCTCATAAACTGCTAGTGGGGATAAAAAGCAGGGCAAGGAGTTCTTGTTCTGGCATCCCTATTGCTGCTAGTTCCCTTTTCACAGCCTTTCTGCATTGCATTTGTGAATGTACATTTTTATACCACCATTAAACACAAAACTTGAGGGTCAGCCCTGTAGCATAAAAGGTAAAGTCACCACTGGCAATACCAGGCATCTGATATGGGCTTCACTTGGAGTCCCAGGTTCTCTACTTCCTATCCAGCTCCCTGCTAATGTGCCTGGAAGGGCAATGGAGAACAGTGGAGAACCGTGTGAGTACTTGGGTCTTTGCATCCATGAATGCAACTCAGAAGCAGGTCCTGGCTTCTGGCTTTGGACTGGCCTAGTTCCAACTGTTGTGGTTATCTGGGGAGTAAAGCAGTGGATGGAAGCTCTCTCTGTAACTGTGCTTTTCAGATAAATACATCTTTTAAAAACAAAACAAGATAGAACAAAACAAACCCACAACATCAGTAACAATAGCTAATGGCTCAGTCATTACATTTCAGAGAGCTGTCATAAAAAGCTACTTGACAGCCAACGGCTGCTACAGGAATAAAAGGTGCCCTGGTACATCATGACTCTGGAATTAGAGACCTAACATTGCTTTCACTGATCTATTTAGCAAGTACTTCACTTCTACAATGAAAACATTCAACGACTAAGATCCTGAGCAAGTTAAGACCACCTTGATAGGCAACAGTCATTATTAGAAAGCCTAGAAATAAAACATGAGCTTTAGGAATTCAATCTAGCAAAAGATGAGTAGCAAAACTGAACTGAAGAATAACTTTCTAGACAAGTAAATCACATGGGCAAACAATCCTAGAACACATGTTACAAACATGCCTAGCCTGTCTGGCTCCTGAAAGGACCAACGGAGATGCTCAGAGATGTTGACCTACACTGACTCAAAAGTTCAGAAATCTTCAGACAGAAAGCATGCGCTAAAATTTAGCTAATATTTTCCTTAATTATAAGAAAATCTTAGCTTTTTGCTTGAGTTTCCTAATTTCTAATTAATGGATCAGGTAGTAAAGTGAGTTTCTCACAGTGGTACTCTAAAATTTTGTTTCCTTACTGACATTTGTTCTTGTTCAGCCTCAATATTTCTATCAGCCAAGAACAATTTTAATTCTTGTTCTGTAGTAACATTTTAGATTGTTACACTCATCCAAATTAAGTAGATCTTTTACTAAGCTGTAAGGCATCCAACATTACAGTGAAAAGGCAGAGTAGTTCCACTAGGACAAGGAAGTCTCATTTTGCACACTTTGATAATTCAATGCTACTTTCTTAATCAAAGAAACCTCAAAAAAAAAAAAAAACACCTGTTTTTATTTATGACACATTGATTTAAAGAAAGTCTTAACCCCAGTGGTAATAGATGGTTATAAATTTTCCAAAATGAAAAAGGCAATTACATGATTACAAAATTTCTTTCAACACACAGTTCTTACTTACCCCTCCCAGATCCTTAATTTCCTTTTGCAGTTTTTCACACACTGGGGCAGAAGGTATGTCAAGGTAAAACACTTTCCCCCAAAGCGGTTTATATTTGGACTTTTCTGGTCTGTTTTCAGTTTTCAGAGATTTTAAAGACGATCTGTTTTTCTCATTTTTGACTTGAATTCCATCTGTTATTAAAAATGTTTAGAATGAGATCTCACTGGAGATACAATCTGTTTAAAAGTATTTCATGCCACAGTCCTAGGAACAGTCCTCATAAACCTTAAATCATTAGCATGTAAATACTTCATAGCACCACTGAAGATAAAGGCAGCAAGCCCCAGCCACTTTTTACTGATTCGACCTTAGAAAGTTGCATCTGCAGGAAGGCGCAGAACTCTACAAAAGTGCAGACAGAAGCTTTTAAAAGCATGCACACTCTTCCTACGACTCCGAAGTGCGTCCCAGGCATCACGGCCGGCCTGCTGACCCTCGGAGCTCACAGCCCGGCTATGGCTGCCACGCAGGCCCCAGGCCGCCCAGGCCTGCATTCCACAGCCAGTGGGGCTCCTAGGTGGAGAGGAACCCAACTTGGGATGTCCCCACCCACGGCATCATCCTTCCTGGAAGAGACCCTGAGCTACAAGCAGCTGCTTCAAAACAGCCAACCGCTGCCCACGGGAAAGCCAGCCGCGACGGCGACAGGCCCAAAGGAAGGCGACTCCACACGGACTGCTTTCCCTCCCCGAAACCAGGGCAGAGAAACACAAAGGCTTTCCCCTAACCCCAGCAGCGAGGGAGAGCGGACGTGGGCACAGACCCCCGAGCAACCGGCCCTCTCACCCTGAGGCGCGAGCCCTCGCTATCGCCCTGAGGAAAACGCGGGACGCAGCCGCCCTTCCACCACGGCCAAGAGCTGACCGAAAAGAGGAGAAAGGCGGCAAAAAGGAGGCGGCGGAAGAACCCGGACATGTACGTGGGGCCGCGCGAGGAGGGGAGGACTGAAGGCTCGGCGGGCGGAAGAGGGGCCGCGTACCCTGGAAATGCCCTTTACTGTGAATCCTCATGGTTCCGGAGTTCATGGCAGCCGCCCGGCACCTACATGCTGAGAAGCGCAGGCTGTCGCGCCGGAGGGCCGCCAAAGCACGGCGCTGACAGGACGGCCGCGCTCCCTCCCGACCACCACCGGCCGCCGAGCCGGCCGAGGTCCGGGAGTCGGCGGGCCGGGTTTCCGGGTCCGGCTCGGGCTCCTAGGCGCGGAGGAAGAAGTGCCCCAGACACCAACGAGTGAGCGGCGGCGGTTGAAGATTTGAAAACGCGTCACGAGGCCGCGGCGTGCCGACGCGCGCCCCGCCTCCTCTCCCGCCCGGTGCTGACTGCGCGTGCCCGCCTCCTCGCGCCGGTTCCGCCCCCTGGCGCCGCAGCTCGCCTCCTCACGCCTCCCCTCTCGCGCTCCGCCCCCTCGCGCCGGTCCCGCCCCTCGCGCCGAGGCCCGCCCCGCTGCGGCGCCCAGGCTCCCGCAGGCCCCAGCCCCGCCCCTCGCGCTCGCTCCGCCCCCTCGCGCCGAGGCCCGCCCCGCTGCGGCGCCCAGGCTCCCGCAGGCCCCAGCCCCGCCCCTCGCGCTCGCTCCGCCCCCTCGCGCCGAGCCCCGCCCCGCTGCGGCGCCCAGGCTCCCGCAGGCCCCAGCCCCGCCCCTCGTGCTCGCTCCGCCCCCTCGCGCCGAGCCCCGCCCCGCTGCGGCGCCCAGGCTCCCGCAGACCCCAGCCCCGCCCCCGCCCTCCAGCGTCCCGCCCCGCTCTGAGGAGTTGGAGTGGCTTCGGGGTGACCACCGCGGGTGCATGCAGTATCCCCGCCGCACGGCGGGCTGTCAGCAGCACCGTCCCCCCGGCCTCTCGAACTGCCCGGAACCTCGTGCCCTTCCAGTCGCCTTCCCCAGGTACGCTTGTGTCGCGCGGGGCGGACGTCCCGGAGGCTGCGGCCCGGCCCGGGTCGCCCCGCGAGGGGTGCCCACGGTGCCCGCGGACCATCCGGCTGCAGACAGGCCGGGCAGCCCCGTGACCCCGACGCGGCCCAGGCTGCCCGCCGGCTGCTGCCTGGTTGTTGACCCCGCGCGGCCCCGCACACCGGCGCTGGCCTTCCGGGGATCAAAATGACGATGACGAGAGTGGAGAGAGGACCCTGTGGCGTGGCTCATCCTCGCGACTGGGATAACGGAGCACTGTGGTGTAGTAAAATGTGAGGCGCGAGTTGGAAAATGCCACCAAAACAGATTAGGGTGAATTGCAAATCCCTGCCCTGAAGCGCAGCCCGGGGAGACCTGTGACACCTGCTTAGCAGAAGCTGGGAACTCGGGGCTGGGTCGGGTGTTCCACAGGGCAGCTGCGAGGCAGACAGGCTTCGGTGGAGGTCCCGAGGCTCCTGCTGGAGGGCTCGGCCCGGGTGGACAGCTCGCGGGGCGGACGGTGGACGGCGGCCCCGGGCGGGTGCCCAGCCGAGGCTGCAGGTCTGCGGGCGCGGGAGGAGGCAGGCTTTGACCGAGCCTTCAGGGTTCTCATTTCTAGTCGACAGAACCTATTTTAAGATGCAAGATACCAAAAGAGTACAGGATGTTTATCTTTGTATGCTTCTGTGTGAAAGGGTCGCAAACTAGCCCAAGTCGGGGGAGTGTGAGGAGAGTGGGAGATGGGAAAGAGGACCAGCTGTAGGATGAGACCTCGGAATGCAGCTTGCAGTCCCCAACTCCCGGATGGCACATACTGGAATTTCTGTGAGCTTCTGTGGTAAGAAGGGAGTTGCAGAGAGTTCTCAGGGCTGTTAGGAGGACGTGATGGGACATTTTTGAAATCTTCATTAATATAGAATAACAGCCCAGCAGTGGCTGTCATCCTGGTGAACTCTACGCCAATCCCTCCTTCCCAAAGTTTAAGAAAATACCACGACTTGAAAAGTAGGCTTTGATGGTGCTGGTTTGTCATTGGTTTCCTTAGAATTTCTGCAGGTGGCAGAGCTAAGTACTAAGTAAATATGATGGACTTGAGGTTGACAATTTAAGCATACTGTTTACAAAAACTTTGTCAGTAGAGAAAAACATTGGGTCTTTGGGGGATTTAGTGGGTGTGGGATAGATTGAAGTATGTTTCCAGCCGAGCAGGACGAGTCTATCTGATGCTTCAGCTATGTTTCTTATTTAATGTAATGAGGCAGCACAGTGACGTAAATGAACACTTGGCCTGTCAAACTCTGACTTGACTTCGCAATTCCATAGGATGATTAAGCACAATGCTTGCCTTGCCTGTCGGTTAGTGTTTTTCTCATCTGTCATCTGAGGTTAATTTGTCACAGTGTTATTGGAGCCCATATCTTTGAGTGACTGCAGCAGGAAGGGTTTGGTCATGAATCTATGACCAGTTAGGATAGAAACCTCCTTAGCAGTGACATCGTTAATCCAACCTATCAGTGAGAAAGTGAGATTCCCACCAAGCGCGTGAAAACATGCGTGAAGAGCGTCATCACATAAAGGGTGTGCATTCACAGGGAGAACTTAAGGGCACAGGGTTCTTTGTAGTGACAAGTGTGATTAGTCAGTTAGAGCGAGGCTGAGCCCAGGAGAAAAGCCGCAACTCAAGCCATACACTCTGGTACGTGAGAGGGGCACCCCAATTCCCACCGCTTAAGCTGAATTTTTGTGATTACTGTAACCGGGAAGTCTTCACTTGTTGGTTCTCTTAAGATTCCTGTGACCTATAACAGTTCTCCCGCCATTGTTCTCTTTTTTCCCTTTCTCTATGAGCTGAGGAAAACAAGAAAATGGCAGCTAGAATTCTACCACTCCTATCATTCTATAGTACCTGTTATCTCATTACTGTAGTTTCTGTATTTCCTGTGAATTGAAAGTTAAATGTAAACCCCATTTGGATCCAAGTTAAAGATTTTTTTTTTCTCCAAGAAATATTGGTGATGCTAGGTCTTTAAATTTGTGTAACAAAATGTGCTTGTTCCGTTATAGATGATGCCAAAAGTAACATTGTGTTCAGGTCCTGAATGGTTTCCTTTTTAAGATTTATTTATTTGTTTTTTACTGGAAAGTCATATATACAGAAAAGAAGAGAGAAAGAGAGGAAGATCTTTCATCCATTGATTCATTCCCTAAGCAGCCACTATGGCTGGAGCTGAGCCAATCCAAAGCCAAGAGCCAGGAGCCTCCTCTGGGTCTCCCACATGGGTGCAGAGTCCCAAGACTTTGGGCTATCCTCAACTGCTTTCCCAGGCGACAAACAGGGAGCAGGATGGGAAGCAGGGCCACCAAGATAAGAACTAGTGCCCATATGGGATCCTGGGACACTTACAAGGCGAGGACTTTAGCCTCACTAGGCTACCACACCAGGCCCAGTTTGTTTGTTTGTTTTTTTAAAAACTGAATACGTTAACCAGGATAGCATGAAGTTTTTGTGAACATGAATTCATAACCTCAGTGCTTTTGTTACTGTGTTCTGCGTGGTCTTCCAGATACTTATCAAGAAACATTTAGTAAATACAGTATATATATATATGTGTGTGTGTGTGTGTGTACATATATGTACATATATGAATGTGTTTTATATGTTGATTTGTGTTTTTAAATCTCACTATTGCTCTCCCTTAGACTTATTTTCCCTTTCCTATATGGAACGTTGAGGGCATTGCATTCTTTTTTCCATTATAGGTTTTCAACTACTGATGCTACAAACAATAAAATACTGGAGTATACAATTGAGGAAAAGACTTAAACCAGGTACGTAGATACCAGAAGCCTAAAGAAGCCGTAAGACTACCATTCTTTTTTGTGAAAGACCCAGTTAATATAATCTACAAAACTGGGATTTCAGCTGTGGAATGTTATAATTGTTACCTGACTTGGGTAGATATACGGTGATTACATAAAATAATTTTCTTAAATAATTAGGGTGAAGGGGTATTGGTTTGTGCTGCCTACTTTTAGAAAAAGTAAATTACATGTGATGTGAGAGAAAATTTGTTGAAGATGTAGGTCATTAGAACACCATACAAGGATGGGCATGTGAGTGGGACCCTCCACCCTACCAGCTGCTTTTGGCTGGTTGTGGGGGCCTACTAGCCACCCGGCAATGAGCTCTAGAGTCTTGCAGGTATGGAATTATTGCCTAGGGACATCCACAGATAAGACCACTCTATGTGTAGGTGAGGGATGAATCCTGAGGGACTCCCAATGACAGGACCACTGTACTTGCAGATAAGCAAGGGAACTGAGACCTGGTGGTTTGGAGGGGAGAGGCTAGAAGATCTGTATGGGTCAGACTGATACACCAGCCCACATGGGAGTCCTAGATGGGCTTGTTAGCATGGAACATTGCTGACCACCACACACCACCTCACACAAAAGCTAGGGCTGGGAACCTGTCTAACAGGACTAGTTCCTAGTACTTGACTGAGTGGCAGCACAGGGGACTGATCACATTAGCTAGGGCCATGACACCAACCAACATGCGAGAGAACAAGGTCCAGGGTTAGATTCTGTGGGGGATAAGTGAGCCCAAACCCTGTGGGAATACAAGTCTCGCTGGTTAGCTCATGAGTTGGGGTGGTGATGGGCTAAGCTAGGTGTGACCATGGAACCTGCCAACACTCACGGATGCTGGGGCCTAGAATAGTCTGGGCAGGTACAGGCTGCAGCACCCACATGTGCATCCTAAAATAGGGTATGGGACAGGATGGGATGCAACATTCCACATTTCATAAAAGGCCAAGATGGAGGGGCAGGCTATGCCGGTCAAGGGCTTAGAATGTGAAATCTGGGTCTGGAAGTGAGCCGAGTGGGAGAACTTGAGAAACCCCTCGTGAGTCATAGCGCCCACTGGTGAGCATGTGGTCCAGGTCTAAGGGTCGGGCAGGCTGGTATCAAAAAAAAAGTTAGATCTTATAATATGCATTTTCCATTTACTCTTTGAAGATCCTTGATGTGCATGAATTTCAAAATTTTTCCCAAAAGTAAATGTATTTAAATTCCATTTTTCTTTAACTTTTCATGTCCCCACATGTATCATATGTATTTATGTATATACATATGTATTTTTACAGTTTGCATATACATATAAGAGAGTATAGACACAAATATACACACAGCTTATGCTGCAAGTAGTGTATCTAGACTTTTGAAAAGATGATACCTCTATGTTATCACTGATTATTTTTCAATAATGTTTTTAATAAATGATTTACGATTTTTTGTGTATTATCTGACTTTCAACAAAGGACCTCTGATGCTTTGCTCACCAGTTTTTTTTAAAGATAATGAATGCTTCTTATGAAGCTTCGTGTCTTGTTTTATGCCTATGTGGCAACATTCGATGCAGCAGAAGTAGTGTGGCAGGTGTGTGAGTAGTTGATATTCACCAGTCTGTGACTTGTTGATCAGCCCCTTTCATTCTGTGCTGGGTTTAGGTTCTTTCCTGTGTCTTAGATCCCCTACAAACATGATGCTGCTCACAGGGCCTCCTCACCGAAGAACGTCACCATGTGACGTGATATCGTCATGGCAATTGTGTGCTACCTTTGTGTGTGCAACATTAGTTGAAAACATGAACTTTGGGATAAGTTCTCATTCTTGCTTTTATTTCCTTTTTAGCAATTAATTTTAAGGACATTTTCTAATCAAGCTTATTTTTTTGCCCTTCTATAACAGATTTTTCTTCGATCAGTTAGAAAGTATGGAGCCTGATACAGTGGCACCGCAGCCCATCAGAGTGACACCTGTTCAGCAGATGCTTGCCTCCTGTACAGGAGCTGTGTTGACCTCCCTAATGGGTAAGGTGCTTCACACACACCACACAACCTTGGCTGTCCCAGTGTTTTACTGACTGTGAAGTATGACATGTCTGTCAAGAATTCTCGTATTCCTTCTTTGGCACAGTGATATGAAAAGATCCTGGCCAGGGAAGAGGGAGACAGGTTTTACTGCTTGCTGAGTGAATGCGGCTAGGAACAGTACTCAGACACGACTTTCAGACTGGAGTCTTAGAGTAGTCTTTTGTGTGTGTGTGTGGTTCCTTTCAGTATTAAACTTTATGACTGTTGCCTATTTTTAAAATAGCTAACAAGAAGATGAAATAAAACTGACACAGTAAATAACTTATACAGAATTTGGACAACTGATAGTAACAACAAATGTAAAATTAGTGATGTGCATTAACAATTACTTAAATTTCTCTGCATCACATTTTATTTGGTTTTGTCATTATTATAAACATAGCAAAATAACAGGTGAAACTTTAGCATTTTTAATTTGAATTGTTGAGAGATAAACAAGTTAACAAACAGATCTAACTAATTGCTTTGTGATGTAGAACATTCAAGGGCAGAAATTTAGAGCTGTAAAGCCTCAGGGGTTATGACTTGCCTTCCTCAGAGGAGGTGTTTTCTTAAAAACCACCCTTGATGGCACTTTAATGTGGATACAATATTTTACAGTAACTAAACTCATTTTTCTTTCCTGTGCTGTTGCCAAATGGTATAACACAACTTAAAGACAATTTATGACTGTGTAACTCAAATTTTCATTTCCTATCTTTTTGATACAAGTGGATTTAATACAGTGGGTAAGCCAGTTGATTAATAATCACTTGTAACACAAAATGATTCTCAACTGTCTAAGTAGGCTTTTGGAGCTTTATTCCTTACCTACAGAACATACTGGCTCATAAATATTGGTATTTTAATATTACTGTTAATGGAATTATAGCTGAAAATTATGGAACAAGTATTATACATATATTATATATATAATATATATATATATAGTGCTAATTCTCTTTAGGCAAAATTCAAGTTGGAATGTTACACTCAAGACTAAGATAAATTTACCTATCACATAGTCATAAGGGAAACTATGAATTGATGTATTTTGTGTTTTGAAAGTTGTACAGTTTAGAAGTATCACTTGCTAATTGAATCTTAATGTTTGCTTTTAGTGACACCCCTGGATGTAGTTAAAATTCGGCTCCAAGCTCAACATAATCCATTCCCCAAAGGTATGAGTGCTAATGCTCCTGAAAATGCTGTTACCTTTTTTAATGTTAGGGCATGCACTTTTGCATGTGTGACATTAATTTTTATTAATTTGATGGGCTTTGTACCTTTTTATCCTCCTGCAGGCACATTTCTCACCATTTAGTGGTACGTGATGAGGTGTAGGCAGAAATCAAGATGCACACATCAGTGTTTTATGAACCTGTGTGTAGTTGGATGTGTGCCTTCCAGGCAGTGATGCAGCAGCACAGCCAAGGGAGCCTTGGATTCTAGGTGCCTCAGTTATCCCGAGCCAATCATATTTCATCTTAGAAAGCAGAGATAGTTCCCTTTCTTTTTCAAGGCTATTTCTCTTTTCTTAAGTATCTAGCCCCCTCATTGTACCTCCAGTTTGCTCATCTGTAAAACTAATCCCGTGATGTGAAGTGATTGTTGACAGTTGCTGTCTTCCTTGTAGGAAAATGTTTCGTGTACAGTAATGGCCTCATGGATCACGTGTGCGTCTGTGAAGAGGGAGGCAACAAAGTGTGGTATAAGAAGCCAGGCAACTTCCGGGGGACAATGGTGAGAAGACTACAGAACTCAGAATCACTGTGTGTCTTCTTCCCTTTCCATTTAGGTCTGAAGGATTTCTGTTTACACAGAAGTAATGAGTCCATCTGTCTAAAGGAAAAAAGGAAATGCTTTGCTTTTTAACCCTCTGTGCTTTTCATTAGTTCATGCATTTTATTACATTAAAAAGGGAGGGAGCTAAGTTTTTTTTTTAGTTTACTTTTTTGACTTTTATAGGTCAAAAGAAATTTAAAGGGGCCCAGCGTGATGGCGCAGTGGTTAAAGTCCTCGCCTTGCACGCCCCAGGATCCCATATGGGCGCCGGTTCTAATCCCGGCAGCCCCGCTTCCCTTCCAGCTCCCTGCCTGTGGCCTGGGAAAGCAGCCGAGGACGGCCCAAGGCTTTGGGAACCTGCACCCGCGTGGGAGACCCGGAAGAGGCTCCTGGCTTCGGATCGGCATAGTATCGGCCCGTTGCGCTCACTTGGGGAGTGAATCATTGGACGGAAGATCTTCCTCTCTGTCTCTCCTCTCTGTATATCCGCCTTTCCAATAAAAAAATAATAAAAATAAATCTTTAAAAAAAAAAAGAAATTTAAAGAAAAGTAAATCTCCTATACCCAGTAGTAAGATCTCACAAAACTAGTACAGTACACAACAAGGATGTTGACATTTATAAATAGTTCACATGAAGAATAATCCTGTAACCACAAGGATCTTGCCTGTTTCCCTTAAATTGTTATGTATTTGTTTTTGCTTTGTTTGAAAGGCAGACAGAGAACTCCCATTCCCTAGCTCACAACCGTAACATTTAGGCTGGCTCTGTTACTTTACGTTCCCATCAACATTGCATGGTTGGTCAGTTTCTGTGCATCTTCGTGAGCATTAGTGTTGTGACTATTACAAGTTTTATTTGTTGAAAGAGATCCTTCATCTGCTGTTCCTCTCCCCAGATGCCCACAGCACCCCGGGCTGGGGTTTGCCATGTGGGTGGCCCATGCCACGTGCCTCTTCCCAGGTACTGGAACAGAAGCCACGTTGGCAGCAAGCACGTGACGCAGTCAGTTAACTGATCGCCCTTTTGTTGTTCTTGTTCTGTGTTTTTGTAGCAGTTGTGAGATTGTCTAGATTGGTATCTCATTATGTTTTAATTTGCATCTTTTTGCAAGATGATGATGTTGCCCATATTTTCCTGTGTTTTTTTTTTTTTTTTGGCCATCAGTGAATTGGCTCTTTGCCCATATTATAATTAAATTGATTGTATTTTTTTTGCTGTTGTGTTTTGAGAATTCTTTGTATATAACAGATACTAGCCCTTTGTTTTGGATGTGTAGTTTGCAAATTTTTTCCCCCACACTTTTTAAAAAAGATTTCTTTATTTTTATTTGAAAGGCAGATTTTCAGAGAGGAGAGACAGATCTTCCAACCTCTGGGTCACACTCTCCCCTCTCCCCCGCCCCACAAAATGGTCACAAAGGCCAGAACTGAGCTGATCCAAAGCTAGGAAGTAGGAGCTTCTTTCTGGCCTGCCTTGTGGGGATAGGAGCCATCCTCTGCTACTCTCCCAGGCATGCGCAGGGAGCTGGATCAGAAGTAGAACAGCCAGGACACAAACCGAAGCCCATATCTGATGGAAGTGCTTGCAGGAGGATTAGCTTGCTGAGCTACTACACCTTTTCATGGAGGATATGTTTTTATTTTTTTTTAAATCCTCTTTATCATTTTTTTCCTTCTAGATCATGCTAAGATCTCTAGATCAGTGTAAGAAGTCTCTACTTACCTTAGGACTCTTTCCTAAATTTTTATCCTTAAAATTGTATAGCTTTACGTTGTATTGGGATCCTTGCTCCATTATTTTTTATAACTATGAAGCGGAGATTGAAGCTTGTATGTTTGTGGCTGCTGCCGATGCCCGCGGCTATCCAGTTGCACTGACTGAGAAGGCTCTCTTTCTTCCACTGAGTTGCTTTTTTGTACATTTAACCAAAATCCTCTGGAAATACTGAGTGCATCTGTTCCAGGAGTTCATGTTCAGTTCCATTGATACATGCCTCTTGCTCTGTCCTCACTGTAGCTTTGTTATAAGCATTAATTATTAAGTATTCAAATCGGATTCTTCCTGTTTCATTCTTATGTTTCTTTTTCAAAATCATGTTCCATACTCCCCAGGTTCCTTTGTATTCCCATGTATATTTTGGAATAATCTTGTCAGTATAGGCAAAAAAAAAATCTTGCTATGATTTCTGTAGGGATTTCACTGTCTATATAAACTTAGGGAGAAATTTAATATACCATGTTATATTTATTGATATTACTTATTGGCCATTGGATTATTTCTACTATTGCACTGAATAATGCTGGTATGAATCTTCATGTTTTTGTGTGACTTTGTGTTTTAACTTCTCATGATTACATACCCAGAATTTAGAGTGATCCGCTCATGTGGTAATTCTGTTTATCCTCTGGAGAATATGCCAGAATGTTCTCCTAGGTGGCTCTACCATGTTACAGTACCTTCAGTCTTGGATAAGGGCTACAGTTTTGCCACATTCTCACCAGCACTTACCATTGTCTGTCTTTGTATTTTAGCTTACCTAGTAGAAGTGAAGTCCCATCTCACTTTGGTTCTGATTTGCATTTCCATAATGATCAGTGTTGTTGAACAGTTTTTTTCACAGGCTTATTGGCCATGTGTGTGCATTCTCTGCAGATGTGTCTATGAACAGCCTTTGCAAATTTGTTTTGTTTTACTCATTATTATTGACATATAAGAGTTTGTTAGCAACAGAAATCCTTTCTGTAGCTCCCTATTTTTGGTTCCTCTCCGAGATTTCCTGGTGGGCTTTGGTCGTAGGTTCTCAGACTTATAATTTGGAGAGCTTATTGGACTAACCATCTGCCTTTGTACTTCCTCATTTTTATAATATTTCCAAGGCTTTAAGCTCTAGAAATGATTGATTTAATTGGTATTGAGATTGTGATTTTTAAAAGGATGGACATAAGCCCAATAAACTAACTTTATAAATGTTTGAATCAAGTTTCCAGTACTTTTAACTGTAAATGTTTAGATAGCAGGTCTCACGGTATGTTGACTACTTTTTTACTGTGATTTTAGGATGCCTTCTTAAAAATCATTCGAAATGAGGGAATTAAATCACTGTGGAGTGGGCTTCCCCCTACCCTGTAAGTTGGAATTAAATTTTTTTCCTACTAAATGATTGTTTCATTGTGCTTTTAAAGATTTATTTGAAACTCATGTTGTGTATGTGTGTGTGTGTGTGTGTGTACACACACAGAGGAAGCTTCCATCTTTTGGTTTGCTCCCCAGATGGTCACAATGGCTGGTGCTGACCAGGCCAACTCTAGGGGCCAGGAGTTTAATGTGTAGCTCTCATGTGTGTATCAGGAACCCAGATGCTTCTCTCAGGCAGTTAACAGGATGTGGGATGGGAAGCGGAACTGTGAAGACACAAACCAGTTCCTGTATGAAATGCTGGCACCATAGGCAGCACCTTTTATCAACTATGCTGCACGTGCCCCTGTTGTGGTGTTTCTGTTTGTGTATTTTCAATCTTGGATTTTGAATACTGAGAACTGGCTCACTTTCAGTAATGTCTCGAGAGTCTCACAACCACGCATACACTGGATGTGGTGCTGGAAGGGCTCCCAGGGCCTGCACCAGCTGGAATGTAGGGTTGGAAAGCAATTTCAAGCATTGAACCTCAACAGTCGGATATAGGATGTGACTATCTTTTTTTTTTTTTAGCATTTTGATTTATGCTCAGTTTATAGTTTAGCTTTTTTCAAAGATTTATTTATTTTCATTGTAAAGGCATATTTACAGAGAGAAGGAAAGACAGAAAGGAAGATCTTTTGTCTACTGGTTCACTCCCCAAGTGGCCACAATGGCTGGAGCTGAGCTGATCTGAAGCCAGGAGCCAGGAACTTGCATTTATGTGAGAAATCTGAATGAAAACTTCTGGTTGCTGGCTCTTGGCTTTGACCTGGCACAGTTCTAGCAGTAACTGCTATTCAGAGAGTTAATCAGTGGATGGAAAATCCTCCCTCTTTCTCTAACTTTGCTTTTCAAGTAATTAAATCAATATTTATGGCTCAGGGCGGTAACCTAGTGGCTAAAGTCCTCACCTTGCATGCACCAAGATCCCATATGGGTGCTTGTTCATGTCCTGGCTGCTCCACTTCCCATCCTGCTCCCTGCTTGTGGCCTGGAAAAGCAGTTGAGGATGGCCCAAAGCCTTGGGACCCTACACCCACATGGGAGACCCAAAAGAAGCTCCTGGCTCTTGGCTTTAGATTGGTTCAGCTCCAGCCATTGTGGCTACTTAGGAAGTGAGCCAGCAGACAGAACATCTTTCTGTCTCTTCTCTCTGTAAATATGCCATTACGATGAAAATAAATAAATCTTAAAAACAAAATTTTTCTTCCAAAATAAAATCAATCTTTAAAAAAAAAATGAAGAATTATGTCTAGGCTAGTTTTTTGAGGTTTCAGCTTAGGAGAGGGGCAGCATGTGACCTGGTGGTGACAGTGATGGCTGGGACACGTGCTGCCCCCCATCCGAGCACGTGGGTTTCACCCTGACTCCGGGTATCAGCTTGCAGTGAATGTGCATCTGTGGAGAAGAGGCACAGGGTGGCATTGATGGTCAGGAAGTTGGGTCCCTGCTCCCAGCCCGAGGTCTCAGCCCCAGCCTCATCCTCGGCTGCTAAGGACTATGGGAAGGGAATCAGCATATGGGAACTTTGTCTACTGTCTCTCATTCTCTGAGACTGTATTTCACACTTTGTATGTCTCTCTCTCAATATGTTTGGTTTTGTTTTAGTTTGTGTAATAATAATTTAAATTTTAAGAGTATGTTAGAGACCTGCTGTTGATTTTGAACAAATCTTTTGTGCATGCATCTCCGACAGAGTGATGGCGGTTCCTGCTACAGTTATTTATTTTACCTGCTATGATCAGTTAACTGCTGTTCTGAAGTCTAAACTAGGAGAAAATAAAACCTCCATTCCAATTTTTGCTGGAATTATAGCCAGATGTAAGTAATAAACCTTTATTTTTATTTTGATTTCTTTTCAAAGCATGTGTGTAACTGTTGGCGTTCGTGGAGCATATGTGTAATACACAGGGTCCTGCTAAGCTGTTTTGTTGTATTACTGTTTCTGTAGTTAACGTTGTCACATGGAATGGTGATCGCCTGTAGAAAGAGCAGCAATTAGTCCACGTTAGGTGATGCTCAGGCCAAGCTGTTAGAATGACATCCAACAATGGTTCTGAATGACCTGAGCTTTCAACAGTGTCCCCTGGCACCAATTAGGACAATGTTCTCAACCGCTGTCCTTCTGAACTTTGGGCATCAGAATTTATTCAGAAGGAAATTTGCCTCCATTTATGGAAGTATGCTTTCTAAAATGGTATGTTTTGGGGTGTTAGCTGAAATGAGTTTTTATAACAGTTCTGTTGAGTATAACATTTCTGGAACTGCTCTTAAAGAACCAGGATGTTGACATCATTAGATACTTTGGAATTAAAGTTTATCAAAAAATGCATTAAATATTCATCTTTTGGATGTGTGTTTGCATAACACATTATTTTGTTTCATTCTGTTTTCCCTTGCTTGCTTGTATTAGTTGGTGCAGTCACTGTGATAAGTCCCTTGGAATTGATTAGAACCAAGATGCAGTCTAAGAAGTTTTCTTACAAGGAGCTGCATCGCTTTGTCAGCAAGAAGGTGTCTGAGGATGGCTGGATTTCCCTTTGGAAGGGCTGGGTGCCCACAGTTCTCAGAGATGTACCTTTCTCAGGTGGGATACATAGCATGAGTGTCTAATCAGTTTTGAACAGCCTTGTCGTATTTCTGTATTATTTCACTGAAACGGAAGCCCTTTATGCTGTAGTGACACCCAACTCCTCATTCATTATTGTCAGTTCATGACAAACTTTCATGGATTAAATAGTTTCTGCAAGCCTGGTTTTCTTTTCTCCTTGTTTTCAATTTATTGTTAATCAATTTTATATTAAATATCACAGGGTACAAATTACCTTTAATAATCTAGATTTAATTAGTTAAAATACTAAAATGGGATTCACAAAAAGCTGGATCAGGACTACAGCTGCAGTCTGCATAGAATGCCCACAGGTTTGCCTGTTACACCACCCTGCCGGCCCTGCGTGTCTTCATTTTTCATAAACATAGCTTTTCCTTTTCTTTATTTTCATGTTTTTGCCAATGTGTGTTATCATGTAAAGGTTTTGATAACTTTTGCATTTCTGGCGTAGCACACCTCACGCATGATATATACTCTTTGAAAGAATAATTCTGGCCTCTGTTGCTTGTTGTTTCAGAATTTGAACATCTGTGTTCCTCAGCCAGGCTGCCTTCCCTTTCTCCTACTATTCGTGTGTGTGTGTGTGTGTGTGTGTGTGTGTGTGTGTGTGTGTGTGTGTGATTATAGACCAGATGTACTGCTGTGCAGTTTTGTTTATAAGACTGCCAGAATATTACTGAGAATTGTGTGCTCTCCCTTTTTAAAAAGTTATACCAGGTGTAGGTATCTAAACAGGAAGTTGTTTTCAAGGTTAGACATTTTCGTTTCCTTTAGTAAATATTCCCTGTAAACCTTTCCTTTAAAGTTTCCATTTCATTTCTGAATGTGTATTCATTTCATGTTCTGTTTTTGTAGCACTGTACTGGTATAACTACGAAATTTTAAAGAAATGGTTGTGTGAGAAATCTGGTTCATATGAACCAACGTTTATGATCAACTTTACTTCAGGGGCATTGTCTGGTTCTGTAAGTTTATTCTTTTCTTCTTAGTAATCCAGAAAACTGATAACTGTTACAACAAAATATTATTTGTATTTCATACATATTAAGATAGTAATTTGGGGGTTGTATCGCTGTAAGAATTTTCTAAATATTTGCCATCCTAATTTATAAGGATAAATTAACCAGTTAATATTTTAAAGTATACTTTGTGTTTATATTTTTTGTCATATGAAAATACATTATCAGGTTTTTCCAAGAAACACTGAGGATTTTTAAAGATAGCTACAGTTTTGAGAATGATAAAAGTTTTTTTCTTTTTTTTATTAATTACATTGGAGAATGATAAAACTTAAATACATTGTTATATATAGAAAATTTGGTTTTTTATATATGTATATATATATATATAAGTTCAATAAAAGCTAGTAGATAATATTTCATGGAGTCTCAGCCCATATGTTTAACCATATTGAGAAAAACAATCCTCCACTGTTAATGCTCATTTCTTTGGAAACATTTTGACTAAGTACTTGAAAGAATTCAATAGATTAGCAGACAGAAGGGAGGAATCACAAATGGCTCTCTTTATGCAGTAGACAGTTCACCTTCCCCAGCCCTCAGTAGAATGGCAAATCATGTACTGGACTTCCTTTATGAGATTCGGGTCATCATGACCTTAGTATAAGGGTTTTCTTATAACCTCGTGCTTCCAATGTGAATTTGTGATAACAGTAAGACATTGACACCCCAGAACACAATTTAAAAAAGAGTGATAGGGCAGAGGTGAAGTGATGGAGAGCTGAAGACAGAAAGTCTAGACTGGAAGGCCAGGGAAGCTGAGTTCAGAACTTAGGTATGGATAATTGAATGCCTGTCATCTATCGGATAAACCAATGGGCCAGAAGCCTCCCGAGCCAAAACTGACAATTACTTTCATTGAGTAATGCCTTCAAGATGTTTTACCACTTTATGGACATATGGAGGGAGACTATTTTACAGAGGTGGAGGTGGAGAGATCACCCGCCTTCTGATTCAATCCTCAAACACAGGCAGCGTTTGGTGCTGGACAAGCCTGAAACCAGGAGCCAGAATCTTCACCTGGGTCACTCACAGGGGTGGCAAGGATCCAACTGCTTAAACTACTGCCTCCTGGGGTGGCTCATTAGCAGAAGGCTGGCATCCCAAGCACCATTGTGTTGACCTTGTTGTTGTTAAAGATTTATATATTTTCATTTGAAAGGTGGATTTACTAGAAGGAGAAGAGAAATCTATTTGCTGATTCACTCCCCAAGTGGTCTTAATGATAGGAGTTGAAGTTGACCTGAAGTCAGGCGCCAGGGGCTTCCTCCAGTCTCTTATGTGGGTTACAGGGTTCTAAGGAGTTGGCCATCCTCTGGTGCTTTCCAGGTCATAACCAGGAAGCTGAATCAGAAGTGGAGCAGTTGGGACAGGAACCAGTGCCAAAACAGAATCCCAGGGCTGTAATTGGAGGATTAGTATACGCTGTTCCTCGCCTCACCACCATCAAGCAACATCTTAATGCTGCTGTCAGATTCCTAAGAAAAATTACTTTTAATGATTCTTTTAAGTGATCTAGAAAAGTCACAAAGGTACAACTATTTTCAAATAAGGTTGTGTTTCTACAACAAAAAACACATGAACTGTTTCCAAGCTTTCTTTCAGAATACAAGACACTTAGAACATCATCATTTTGAAATATGTCAGAGGGGCTTACACGGCCTCATGGTGGAGGAGCGTGTCAGAGGGGTTTACACGGCCTCATGGTGGAGGAGTGTGTCAGAGGGGCTTACACGGCCTTGTGGTAGAGGAGTGTGTCAGAGGGGTTTACACGGCCTCATGGAAGTTGCACAGAGGTAGAGACAGTCACTAATTTGGATCTGCCCTTAAATCTTTGAATCTGATCTCAAAAGCTTAAACAAATCATAAATGATTTTAAGGGGCATTCTATGAGTCCTGGCTAGATGTGAGATGAGAAGCAAAAAATAAACAGTAAGCTTAACTCTGTATAACTGTTATATCAAATATTATAATATTCTTAAAAACCTTTACTTACTCAGAAGATCCTCTCTCGGGGCCAGCCTGTGGTACAATGGATTGGCATGCTGGCATCCCGTATAAGTGCTGGTTTGAATCTCACCTGCTCCACTTCTAATCTAGGTCACAGCGACTGAGCCCAGAAGACAATGAAAGATTGGCATGAAGCTCGGTCCCCTGGCACCATGTGGGAAACCTGGGCTGAGCTGAGCTATCTGGCTCGGCCCCCGACATTTAGACATTTGAGGAATGAACCAGCAGAAAGACGCCTCTCTTCTTTAACTTTGGCTTTCAAATAAATCTTTAAAAAAAAATCTTCCCTTGCTTAATTATCATACTATGGAGATTTCACATGAAATCACTTTTGAGAAAACCACCTTAAAATTTAAATCATGAAAGCTTTTAATGATATTTGATAAACGTGTTAACAAAGAGAAGGCATATAGAACTCAACGTTTGAAGTCTGTTATTTCTTGAATATTTAAAATTTATTGTTAAAACATTTGCTGAGAATTTTCAATACTTACATTCAAGCTACCTGAATTTCTGCTTTACATTTCCTGTGAAGCAAAGGCATGGTGTTGCGCACAAAAGCACCCTAAATCCTGAGTGCTCTTTTTGGGGTCAGAGAGATTTCATTGGAATTATAGCTCTGTTGCCATTCACCGTGTGACCTCAAGAAAATAAAGTTTTTCTGAGCTTTGTGAGAAATATGTAAGACACACACACCTGGTTTTGCTTAAGGCCCACTTGGTTATGATTTATTTATATTTTTACTAAATAATATGTTACCTAGAAGAATGTAAAAGTATTTTAGGGAAAAAAAAGTGGGCTTAAAGTAACCAATGTTTCTTTTTGATAGTTTGCAGCTATTGTAACTTTACCATTTGATGTCGTAAAAACTCAAAAGCAGACACAACTTTGGACACATGAAACTCATAAAGGTAAGTTTGTTTGTAAGATGCAATTTTTGCTTGTTTATCAAAAATAGTTAGAATTATATATAGTAAAAAAAGCACAATTATTTTCTTATTCCTTATTCTTTATATAATGGAAATGATAAATGTATACTATTAAAACGTAACACTCAGAAAAATTATTCTAAACCCAAACAAAACATCCAAGAAATCTTAAGGTCTAATGTTTTTCTTTAAAGATGTATTTACTTGTTTGTTTGACAGAATGACAGAGCAGGAGCCTCCATCTGGGTGCTTTTGCCAACTGAGCCCAAAGCCAGGGCCGGGCCAGGCTAGGACCAGGTGTCAGGAACCTCCCTCCTAGAGGGTCTCTGTCTGGGTGGCAGGAAACTTCTTCCCCTGCACATCAGCAGGGAGCTGGATGGAGGTGGAGCGCCTGGGACTTGAACCTAGTATGGTATGCAGGGGTAATTTGCTGTGCGGCAGTGTCTGCTTCCTGATTTTCCTTGACTGCTATCAGTGAAGTCTCCTAAATACGATCCAGAAGGATAAATGGTCGTCTTTCTGATTTGAGGGACAGAGATCCACTGACTCACTCCCCAGATGCCTGCATCTTCAAGGGCTGAGCTGGGGCCCCAGCCAGGAGCTAGAAGGGCAGTGAAAAAAGAAAGAAAGAGAAAGGAAAGAAAGAAGGAAAAGAAAGAAGGAAACAAAACAAAGATTTTTTTAAAAAGCTGTAAAAATTTAAATGACAAATGGTTATCAGGACTTGTTTGGGATTTCCTATAAAGGTTAATACACATCTTTTAAATATTTGTAATGAAATATGTTTAAGGAATGAAAAAAATGTAAAGAATTCTGTACCAAGCTTCAGAATCAGACATTACCACTTGAACCCTTCTGGATTGTTCTCCCTGACATCCAGCTGCCATATGCCCTCAAAAGTAATCTTTGCCTACTTTTTCATAAATCCAACTGTTAAAAATAAGATTGAAAATAGCTCTTTACATAAAATAGTTCTTCTGTTCTATTAACTAAATGATGTATCCTCAGATGGCACAAACACCACCTTATTTGTATTACCTGTATTAGAAATTTCATTGATTTAGACTGGCATTTTTTCTTTTATTTAGTTCCTGTGCCTTTGCAAATGTCAACTTGGGTTATAATGAAGAACATCGTTGCAAAAAATGGAGTTTCTGGATTATTTGCAGGTAAAACTACTTGCTTTCGCAAATCAGTGCTCCATCACCTAGCGGTGACATTCAGGGGAAAGTCCACGTTACATTCCAGGTTAATTATTTTCTCCTAAAAGTGTTAAATAACACTAGATTTGCTCTCAGTAAAATAGCATTTCTATATACATTGGAGCTGAAGTTAGAAATTTGAAAATGAACCCTTTGACCTGTTTACTAACAATTTAAAGTACAAAATTTTATACATCGGTTAGTATATTAAAATGAACCCCCAAAAAGTTGTTTATTTATTTATTTGTTTTTTAATGAAGGCTAATGTGCTGTTTTTCCTGTTCTCCTCTCAGGCCTGACACCTCGCTTGATTAAAATAGCCCCTGCCTGCGCTGTTATGATCAGCACGTATGAATTGGGAAAGGCTTTTTTCCACAAACAGAACACTCGAAGGCAGCAGTAGTAGCGATGCTGCACCTGGGGAGAGCACCCAGCGCCCAGCGAGGTGGACGCTCCTGGGAAAGGACTTTGGCCACAGTTATGTCTTTACAATGATTTTTTTTCTTTCCTGGCATTTAAATGATAATTTTTAATCTACCTATATATTTAAAAATAAATTATATCCTATTTTTGGAGGTAGTTAAAAAGCTATCCCAGAAATCACAATCACTGGGTATTTCTCATAAAAAAAGGGATTATTCTTTCGCATTGAAAGCAGTGTATGAGAATTTAATATACGTATTTAATGGCTTTTTTAGGATAATTGAATCACATTGGGAGTGGGTCAGACACATCAGAGCTTTTTTGAATTACATGCAAATGATGGACAGAGTCTAGAAGGAAAAGCCCAAATCTTATGCACATTTAAATTATGTATGTGGGCATTTCAATGGATAATACAAGGCAGCCATTAAATAAATCATTCTTGTTTACCAAATATTACCTGTGGGTTTTTTTTTGGGGGAGTGGTTTTGGTAATTCAAAGACATGAGGTTTTTTTTCATCATGTTAGTTTAAGGCCTCATTTGCATTAATGTTTCTATGATTAAAGATGTGACTATTTTATCTTTATAAACCAAAACATATTCATGTGGTATGGCCTGTATCATTTCCGATTTCTCTTTCACTGAAGCAGTAAGCGTTTACTCCAGTATGCTCCAGTGTATAGTAGGGAAATGCACTGTGTTTAGTTAGCAAAACTAAACTGGGTACAGGAAGGACCTCGGTTTTTAATCCAACTACCATTTATGGTTCCCCAGGTGTACTAACTTATTCTAACACAATGAATATCATCATAGGTTAAGCATATCCAAAATTTTAGAACCTGAGCATTTTTGAGTGCAGAAATGTCACCAATGGAAAATTTTATACCTAACCTCATGGGCTGCAGTTACAGCACAAAGCATACTGAAAAGATCACATAAAGTTACCTTTAGGCTGTGTGTGTCTGTGTGTACGTGTGTGTCTGTGTGTGTACATATAGTGCATATATATATCTATATACACACATAAATCCTAAATGAATTTGATATTTAGGCTTGGGCCCCCTTCTAGAACTGTCCTTTTTATATGTACAAATATCCCAATATCCAGAGAATCACAACTCTGAGCCGTTTTTGGTTCCAGGCATTTTCAGCTAAGGACACTCATTCTGCACTATGAAAGCAGCCCAGCATTGGTCTGCTCTGCTATGAAGCTAGCCAAAACACTGTCAGTCAAGAAAACTGCTTTCAATCATAGCCATGACTAAGTAATTTAGCTGTATATGTAAGAATAAATGATGATGGTGAGAGGAAGTTTTATGTTTTATTCTCAGCTCTCTAAAAGAAAAAGCTCTGCTTTGCAGTCTGTATTTTAAGCAAATGTGAAGCATTTGTCCCCCCAAAACAAAATAATTACAGTGACAGCATTCTCTGTTGTCACTATGGGGATTAATACATTTTGTAATACAGTAGAAAAGTGTTCACATATTTCAGCAGAATTTTATGTTATCCTGTATTAATTTATCTAAAATTTGCAATATATAAATTCATAAAACTACTCTTGATTTTCTTGTACTTTGCTTACCTAAAAAGTACTCTGCTTCTAGACACATACATTTACATGAAAACACAGTGTAATTTAATAAATTTATTGTCAAAATTTATATATATTTATATGAAAGTTAACTTTTAAAACTGCTATTTACCATTTTAAAGTTTAAATTTATTTTGGTGTTATTATCTTCCTTTTTCTATCTGACTAGTATAAAAAATTTGGGGAGGGGAACTTTCCTACTTAGCTTCTCAAAAAACAGTCACATACTTTTCAGACAATTATCATCTATAAATACAAGAAAGATTTACATCTTTCCACTCACAATGCTGTACTTAAGGAAAAGTCGAACCTATGAATGAAATAAACCACTCTGTAGTCTGTTAGTTTTTCTAATACATGACTACACGCAATGCATCTGAATGAAGAGACAGATGATAGCAGTCTTCTCAGTTAATAAGGTTTAAAATATATTAGCTACCAAAAAAAGATTTGCTAGAAATTATCTCAGCATTTTGTCTTAGTAATCTCTAATTAAAAGTTATTCCTTTATTTTAAAACAAAGATTATTTAAAAGTTAGAAAGACAGGGGGAGAGAGAGATTATCATCCATCCACTGGTTCCACAACCGTTTGACCAACAGCCAGGGCTAGCAGGGCCAGAAGCCCCAGGTTGGTCTCCCTCACGGTGCAGGGGTTCAAGGACTTGAGCCAGCTTATACTGCTCTCCCAGGCACATTGGCAGGGAGCTGTATCAGAAGTGAAACAGCTGGGACTCAAACCACTGCCTATATGGGAAGCTGGGACTATAGACAGCAGTTTAATTTGCTATGCCACAGAGCTGACCCACATCTCTTCATCTGAAAGGTAGAGGGGCGCAGGGGGAGAAATCCATCTTCCTTCCTCTGGCTCTCTCCACATGGTCTCAATGGCCAGAGCAGGACCAAGTCAGAGCCAGGGGCCCAGAATCCCAACTGGCTCTTCATGTGGATGGCAGAGATCCAAATACTAGGGTCTTTCAGCTGCTTTCCCAGGCACATTCGCAGATGACTGGAAGTGGAACAGCTGGAACTCAGAGTAGTCCTCTGATATGGGATAATGGTATGCACGCAGTAACTTAATTATCCATGGCACAATGCCAGCCCCATAATCCAACTTTTGAACTGATAGAGTACCCAGGTAAAATTAGTGTGTGGAATAACATGTTAAGATTTTTCTCAAAATTTTCTTGTAAAATAGAAATCAAAGTGATTTCCATGTTATTATTTTAACTGTGGAATAATACTCATTGACCACATTTGTTGAAACAAAGGTTCAGTGTACTGTTTGAATCACGTTACTTTTCCAAGGGAAAAATGAGACCAGAAATGCATAGTACAAAATGTTTAATATACATGCAACAAGTATAGTACATCAAGGCAAAAAATAACACAGAATAGTAACATGTAATTCAGCATTCTTTAGGGATGAGGGTTGTGAAAAATAAACTTTACCAGCTAAAACTGAAGAACAAGATACACACTGTTTCCTCATGCAGACATTAACGAACTATCTAATGTGAAATGCGTTGTGTAGAAACCTGAATTTCACAGTAGCAGAAGAGTTGTAACCTTCAGATGTCATGTTTAAATCTTTACTTCTCAGCATGTTAAGATGCAGAAGTCACTGTGTATGTTAGACAAATCTGAAAATATTATATCAATGTTGAATTTCCTTCTATATTATAAAAATGCATGGAAAAAGTGAACAGTTTTAAGTTACTAAAGGATCATAATGTCAGGTTGCGCGGGCCACGGATGATAAAGCAGCGAGGAATTGTGATCATCCACAGGAAGCAGCGGTAGTGCTCAAAGCCAGCCTGGAACTTTCCAAGTTCTCCTTATTCACGTCCTCACTTCCTCTTCCCAGAGTTTCCACTGTTTGGTGAGAATTCCTTCCTTCCATCTCCCAGGCTGGTTAGAAGCCGCTCCGGGTAACTCCCTGACCAAGGCGTCCAGATTGAGAACAAATCTGCATTTCCACAAGTGCGAACGCCCTAAGCTACGGAAATGAAGCCGAGTCGGTGCTGACACATCTCAGACAACTTACACCCGGGGGCGGGGGCCTCCTTGGGAGCACGCTGTCCCGACTGATTTCTAGATGACTGGCTTTAGCACTGTTTTTATGGTAAAGGCCAAAAATGAGACTCTGCTCTAAATATTGTGGAGAACTACCACTCTCCTACATTTCTAATGCAAAGATTGTGGTATTCTCAGTTCTCATGCTGCTTCTCGGTAAAATACACTGTTTTAGGAGGAATATTATTTTGTATGTCAAAACTACTAAGCCTGGGAGTTCTATTCATAAACAAAAATACCTTATGAAGGACTGATATTCCCAATCAGAACCGTGACCTCTTCATGAAAAAAATGTATAAAACTTCTTTGGCACAACTAATCATGTTTTTCTCATATTATTCACTATAGAAAATATACTTCATACACTTTCAGTGTGGTGCAATCTTAAGGGACAAATGTAGCTGTTTCAGTAACTGCAAAAATATTTAAAATGCAGATCATATTTTTATGAAAATTAACATCTGTAGAAATGTGTGGATTTTAAAAATCAGTTTTTAAGTGGGTATATGGCGTGATTAATGACAGAAGCTGTGAAACACACATGACGCCATTCCTGCATAAAAGAAAGACACTGCATATCATATGTATATTTCCTGTTAAGTACAGTGATTGCTCATTGATCTTTGTTGAAAAGTCTCAAATCCTCAATGAAACTTGAAATTTTTCCCGATATACTTTTTAAGCATTTTCTAATTTTAAATGTTTCTAACTTGAGATATACTTGATCATATTTTATAGTTGATAATCTTTTAAGAGATTCTCGGGAAAACAAAAACGTTTATATAATTTTACCCACACTCAATATAAAATATTCTCCCCATGATCCTAGTAACATAAATTAATTAACTGCCTAAAAAGGCACATTCCTACAAAATTTATAAAATATCAAGTGAAATGTTAAGCTGGTGCTAAACAATAATTGCTAAAAAAAAAGTGTGTTCAGCCACTGTGCACCCGCAGCTCGACCGCCTTCCCGACACTGAAAACAAGATGCCGAAGCATCAGGACGTAGGGAGAGAATAACGATAAAACCCAAGTTAATAAATTATGTCTTTGAAATTGTAGTTACTGAAAAATGAAGGGCAGAAAATATTTTAAGTGTCTGGAATAAAAAAAATCATTCTCTTGTCACTAAGATATACTTAAATATAATCAGCTAAATAGCAAATATATACAGTTTCCATGGAAATTTGTTTGCAGGAACTTTGAAAATTTTTAAAAGCCTTCTCATTTTTAAGCTTCCTCCATGACAAATATACTTTTAAAATTACAAGCGGCAGGATCATTGTATTTTTCATCCAAGTGTACTTGTACTGGATTAAACAAGAGATTTCCCAACATGTACCAGAACAATATAAAATTTCAAAGGTCTCCCCAGTAGTTAAACTTATGTAAACTGAACATTTACAACATAAAAACCTTTGGCTTTACATTCAGTTTTCAGGATGGAGTCAAGCCAGGACTTGTCGTCTCCGTCGTAGGACTTGCAAGGTAATCGTTAGATTTTAGACTTGTTAGAGACTTGTAACTTGCTACCGATGTTAGGGACCCACAGAGACCAAGCAATGAAGGAGTATCTTCTTTACCTGAAAATCAGGATTAAAATAAGTTAACTGCCCCTCACCATCCATAACAGTAATATCATAAGACCCTGTATGTTTATCTCCCTATGATTTTTCTTTAAAGATTTATTTTATTTTCATTGGAAAGGCAGATATACAGAGAGGAGAGACAGAGAGGAAGATCTTCTGTCCGATGATTCTCTCCCCAAGTGAGCGCTATGCCGATCCAAAGCCAGGAGCCTCTTCCAGGTCTCCCACGTGGGTGCAGGGTCCCAAAGCTTTGGGCCATCCTCTGCTGCTTTCCCAGGCCACAGGCGGGGAGCTGGATGGGAAGCGGGGCCACTGGGATTAGAACCGGCAACCATATGGGATCCCGGGCGTGCAAGGCGAGGGCCCTATCTCCCTATGATGTTAAAGAGCAGTACCTCCATCACTTGTGTAGCCTCGCATTTGGGAAAATCTCAATCCCACATCCGAGTGCCCTGGGGTTCACGCCTGGCTCCTGACTCCAGCTTGCTCTCAGTGCTGACCTCCAAAGGCAGCAAGTGGCAGCCCCAGTAACTGGGTTCCTGCCTCCTGTGGTAGACCCAGCCTGCTAAAGGACTATGGCGAGTGAAGTCAGGATGGTAGACTCTCTCTCAGATAAACAGTAAGAGGAGCCTTTAAAGCTTATATGTTACTACATTTTGTCTTTTGGCATCTTTAAAAACTATCATACTTAAGAATTAGTATAAGCAAAAGCATAGTTGTATACTGAAACCATGATTGGGGAAAACATCCAATCTTTCTGTGGATTGGAAAATAATACTGTGAAGACAGTAAGAATGGAGGTTACTGGTGTGGCTCAGCAAGCTACACCACTGGCTGTGACATTAGCTTCCCTTTAAGCGTCATTTGAATCTAGTGACTCTGCTTCCAATCCAGTTCTCTGCTAATACAAGATCTTGCCATCTATATAGGAGAATGGGATGGCATTCCTAGCTCCTGGTATTAGACTGGCCCAGCTGTGGTTATTGCAGCCTTTATAGGCATGGATGAAAAGACGGAAGATTTCTTTGTGTCTACCTCTCTAACTCTGGCTTTCAACTAAATAAAGAGTTTTAAATATGGCAATGCCCAACTGCATTTGTAGATTTGGTGTACTTCCCATCAAAATTTCAACTGTCTTATTTTCAGAAATGACAAGTTTGTTCTAAAATTCACATGGAAATGTAAAGGACCCCAAATAACCCAAACAGTCTTGAAACAGAAAAAAGTTACAGCATTCAAACATCCTGATTTCAAAACTTCACTGTATTACTACATCTGGACAACGTGGTGCTGACGTGAGGCGGGTGTGGTAGAACAGACGCTCAGAGCAGGGGAAAGGAAACACGTCTGGAAAGAAGTCCACACACACACTTGACCTGAGGCTGCATGGTCTGCAAAGCATCTGTGATGTGTAAATGTCTTTCCTTTTTCCAGTTTTCTTTTCCTCTTGTCCCTGTTTTTCTTGTGCTTTCTTTTGTGATCAGATTACCTTGACTTTAGTTTGTTTCGTTTTTTGAAAAGTTTCCTAATTAATTAGATCTTTTTCCCTCTGTTCTCCATTTATTTGTGATTTGGTCTTCAAATTATTTTCTTCCTTGTGGTTTGGGTTACTTATTTTTCCAACTTTTTGAGCTGAGATACAATTCATTGTTTTTCATTTTTACTGATATAATTATATAAAAATTAGGAAATTTTGTGATTATTTAAGTAAATCTAATAAAATATACTGTCATTATCTTTTAGGAATTTATAAGTTAAGTTTATTTAATGCTGCCCAGAGTTGCCTAACAGAAGGCTTACTTCCAGCTGGTGGGGCTCTTGGCAACAAAATCCATTTCCTGGAACCTTTGTAATGTTTTACTTTATGAATTTATTATTTTTAGGGCCAACATATGATCATCTTTATGTGACTGTTCCAACTGCACTGAAGTAGGTAGAGTTAGAGCAAGACAATGGCTGAATAAGATATCAGGCAATCATCTCACAAAGACATCTATTTGGTCAGCTAATTACACACCATGTCATCCTCCCAAGAGCCGCAGGTCACAGCTCACGGGGAACTGATTTTAGTATAAACAGTAAGAAGCTGCACTCAAACATGCAGGAGGAGAGAGGTTCCCCACATACCCCCTGTGCCATTTCCAAATAATGCAGAAAGGAAAAAGATACCTTGCACCTCCCACTTGGACAAAGAGGAAATTCATGTCCAGACCTTGGAACACAATCCCAGATCCAAGCATACTTATGATTAAAAAAGAAAGAAAGAAAAGAAAACCAGAGCCAGACAGCTCCATAAGCTCTCTCCTGCAGACGAAATCTTTGGACCTTTCCCAGCCAGGGCACCAAGGAACCACTTTCGTATCCTCTGCTTTCCCCAACCTTTGGTAGTGGCAGAGCAGGACGGGGGTGGGGGGGCACAGGATATTGGCCCGAGTCTACCAATGTGACACACAGCACCTGATCAAGCCCGAAGGCCTTAGACCAGGGCTCACAGAGAGGGGACTGCTACAGTTGCCTTGCCATGAAGCAGAAACCTGTGCTCCAGTAAGATGAGTATCTTTTGGCAAGTGTCATTTCCAAATTTCTGCCTGGCATGGTATAATTACAGTGAGAGTGAGGCATGACCCAGTTTATAGGAGGTGAAAAGCTGTCTTTGCCACGCCCCCATCAACCTTGGGCAGGCAGCAAGGAACCACAGGACTGAACCATGCCAGTACCAGGCTGGTGAAACCTAATACTGGGGAGATCTCGACACTCCTCAGTCCAGTCCATGACTGGAGCCTCTATCTGCCCTGACAACAGGCACAGAGACCTGGGCCTTGGGAATATGTACTTTCCACTACAAGCTTTACAGAGGCCTGGCATGCAGCCGAGACTGTGTAGGGCCTGGGAACTAAGACCCAGGTATTGGTGCCTTCCTGGGTGGCTGTGGGACTGGCTTGTCTCCTTTGCTTCAATTTTGGGCAGAGAGCAAAGAACCACAGAACTGTGCCTTGAGTCTTTTATCATGCTTGAAAAATCAAACACTGAGCAGCTTGCTCCCAGGGATTACTGTCTGGGAAAGAGCTCCAGAACATGCTGTGGTGCCAAGTGGAGTGCTGTAGTCCCAGCTGATCAGTCACAGAACAGCCAGAACCACCCATGTTGCCACAGGAGTGACACCAGCAGTGGAGACACTACAGGAAGAAAGTCACTAGTTCTATCTGAAAGCTGTGCAGGTCTCAGTCTCGGTGTGTGATCCAACACTGTAACCTCAGTAGACACAGGATGAAATGTCTTGTCCTGTGAGAGGTCAGGTATCTTTTTAGACATCTTTCTAGTTCTTTTTGAATAACATATCAACAGCAGGCTTTGAACAATCCTGAGCTTTTTTTGGGGCAGGGGGTTATTTCAGGACTGAATCAATGGCAACCCAGCAAAGGACGACCTACAGCAACTCAGCCTAGGACACCATCCAGCCCTCACGCAGCAGAAGGTCAGCAGATGCAGAGAGAACAAGCAGGCTCTTCAGTACTTGTGGAAGGATGGCTCTTAACACAGCCAAATCACGGCAGCAAAACCGTGTATGCAAAGATGATACTGCATGCCAGAAGTATCTAGAATGTTCAGAGAGGCATGACTTCACCAAAGGAATACATGCTTTCAAATGCTCAGATAAGGACTTTAAAACACCTGTTTTAAGAAACTGAAGGAACTTAACACAGAGAAATGATCTGATGTTCTCAGAGACACTTGACAGAGGGAAGCAGTCTAAAAAGTCAAGCAGAAATCCTTCAGCTGAAAGATTCTCTAAGCAAAATTAAAAACAAGACAGAGGCCATCCATAGCAGAAAAAGATTAAATGGAAGAAAGTGTCAGGTAGCTTGAAGACAAGACATTTGAAAAACAGAAGAAAAAGAGCCAGAGAATGGGGATGTCTCACAGGAACTCTGAATGGCATGCATTGGGTAGAACCTCAATGACCAATGTCAGGAGTGATGAGAATGCCAGTGGGGCAGAAAGCTTATTCAAAGAGACAGTGAAAGAAAAGATCTAGAACCTAGAGAAAGAACTGTCTGCATACAGAAATGCCAAAGTTACAAGCCAAATTCATCTTGATTCTTCCCAACACATCACAATAAAACTCTGCAAGCTTGAAGAAAGGATGCTCAAGGCTCTAAGTGAAAAATGAATAATACATACAAGATTCCCAATTGCTTGACATCAGACTTCTGAGCAAAACTCAGGCCAGGAGGAAGCAGGATGAGACATTCCAGAAGGAAAACACTGCCAGTCAACAATAAGATACCCAGTAAAGCTACCTTAGATATAAGGGACAGGGAAAGACACTTCCAAACAAGAGCCTGGAACATGTATCTGTGCCAGACCTGTCTTACAAGAGAAGGTAGAGAGTTCTCCCAGGGGAGTCCCGTATGGGCGCCCGCTTGTGTCCTGGATGCTCTACTTAAGATCCAACTTGCTGCTTCTGCTCTGCCAAGTCAGTAAAGAATGGGCCGAGTCCTTGGGCACCTGCAGCCACATGGGAGACCCAGAGAAAGCTCCAGGCTCCTGACTTCATACCAGGACAGTTCTGGTCTTTGCATCCATTCGGAGAGTGAACCAGCAGATGAAAGATTCATCTCTCGCACGCACATTCTCTCACTGTAAATCTTCATTTCAATTAAAATTAATATTTTTGAAATCTTAAAAAGAATATTTGAAAAGCAGGGTAACAGAGGGAGGGGAAGAGAAAGGAGAGAGGAGGGGGGAGAGAGATTTAAAAAAAAAATTTACAGCCCAACACAATAGCCTAGCAGCTAAAGTCCTCGCCCTGCACACATCAGGATTCCATATCGGTGTCGGTTCTAATCCTGACAGCCCCATTTCCCATCCAGCTCCCTGCCTGTGGCCTGAGAAAGCAGTGGAGGATGGCCCAAAGCCTTGGGACCCTGCACCTACATGGGAGACCTGGAAGAGGCTCCTGGCTTAGGATCAGCGCAGTTCTGGCCACTGGGGCCACTTGGGGAGTGAATCATCAGACGGAAGATCTTCCTCTCTGTCTCTCCTCCTCTATGTGTATCTGACTTTCCAATAAAAATGAATAAATATTTTAAAAAATATTTAAAGATCTTTAAAAATATATTTGAAAGGCAGAGTGACAGAGAGAGAGGGAGAGGGGAGAGGAAGGGAGATAGGGAAAGAGAGAGATCTTTCATCCACCAGTTTACTACTAAATGCCTAGGCTGGACCAAGCTGAAATCAGGAGCCTGGGACCTAAGCTGCTTCACCATGGGTGGCAGGTACCGAAGTTTTTCAGCCATCACCTGTTACCTCATAGGGTGCATAAGAGCAGAAAGCTGGACAGGACACAGAGTAGGGACTCAAACCCAGCTGCTCTCATATGGGAAGCAGTGTCCCCACTTAACCACTGCCTTAACCATTTTGCCAAAAATCCTTGTCCATCATACTGCCCTAAATTCTCCTAAATTCTACCTGTGTGATATTAGATTTTATATTCTCCTTTTTTTATGCTGGTATTGTCCCAGCATAAGTTTGTCTATGCTTTTATATCTAGCCATTCTATATAATACATAGTATTGTTACAATTGGATGTAATAGTTATTTGCTGTGTTTTCTTTGCTATTTTCTGTATTTCTTTTTAAAAGGTTTATTTATGTATCTGAAAGGCAGAGTTAACAGAGAGAGGAGGAGAGACAGAGAGGTCTTCCATCCACTGTTTCCCTCCCCAGATGGCTGCACTAGCCAAGGCTGGGCGAGGCTGAACCTGGAGCCAGAAGCACGCGTGTGGGTCCACTGGCCCAAGCACTGGGCCATGCTCTGCTGCTTTCCCAGGTCCATCAGGAAGCTGGATCAGAAGGGGAACAGTCAGAACATGAAACCATACCATGCAGGATGCCAACGTCACAGGCGATAGCTTAAGCTGCTATGCTACATGCCGGCCCCATGTTTATATTTTTAAAACATTATTTTTACTGGAACGGCAGAGTTACAGAGAGAAGCAGAGACAAAGAGGAAGGTCTTCCAACTGTTGGTTCACTCCCTAAATGGCCACAACGGCCAGAACTGAGCCAATCTGATGCGAACTTTCTTTGGGTCTCCCCATGTAGGTTACAGGGGCCTAAGGACTTGAGCCATCCTTCACCAATTCCGCAGAAGTATAACAGGACAAACACAAAAGGAGTTAACATTAGTGATATGACAGTGATGGCCTGCCTCGATACAAGTTGTTTTTATATACTAGGAAAGACACAAGCAAGTTAACTAAGTCCATTGAGAAAGTTAACCACAAACACATAAAAAAAAAGAGGGCTATCCGTTTTAATCATAATTGCACTTAATTTCTAACAAGCTTCACAGCAATCTCTCACTCTGGCAATTCCTGCAGTCAAAATATAGACAGCATAGAAAAAAGTAACTTCCAACAATTTTTTTGCTTACCTTCATTGATTAAGTTTATTGTATCTTGTTTTCCATCTTCTTGTGACTGGCCTGGGCCAAGGGAACTTTGAGAAAGGCTAACTTCTGCTGATAACTGGTCTAGACTCTGGTAGCTTTTCCTGTAAAACAAAGATGAAACACTATGTGCATTTACTCTAACAAGCATAATTCTTAGAAACATTCTTTAAAGGTTTCACATTTAGTACATGAGTGCTGTAAAGCAGTAGAGTAGGACTCAGCCTGCAATACTGGCATTCCATATGCGTGCCGGTTCACATCCCTGGCTGTCCTACTTTGGGTCCAGCTACCTGCTACTGTAGTCAGGGAAGTAGTGGAGGATGACCCACATTTTTGGAGATCCAGAAGAAGTTCCTGGCTCTAGACTTTGGAGCAGCCCAGCTCTGGCCTTTGCAGCTACTTGGGGAATAACCAATGGATGGAAGATCTCTCTGTCTTCTTTTATTTCTGTTGTATCTTTGTCTTTCAAATAAAAATATATCCTAAAAACTTTTTAATTTATTTAATTTCTGATTACTCTCACTCAATACTTCCTCTAAATTTTGCCTTTATCAAGACTTCAAAATCATCTCCATTATCTTTTTCTCTCTACCTTCTTTCAATGTTTCTACATCCCATTGAAATATAGAAAAGAAAAATAATGTTAAATAAATTAAAATCCTCATGCAAATTTCTTATTATTAAGAATTGGAAACTTCTCGTTACTGCCAATTTTCAAAACAGGAAAAAAATCTGCAGATTACTCTCAATGAAACCAAGCTGGCACAATCTGAGGGTGCTCTAACACCAAATGATTTAGCACATCCAAATTCTTCAATGCTCGATACTACAGATAGTTATTATATAATAAAAATTATTTTTACAAATTCTTATATCTGAGAACTCCAAAAATGTTTGGAAATTAAATATTTGCTTGTATGAATATATCCTCAAAATAATTTACTTTCTTTACTCATCTATTTCTATTTGAGAACACCAAGTAACCTTTCTTCATATTTGCTTCTTCAGGGTAAAACCAACTCAAAAGATTTGTGGCTTAGTGTTAATAAAAAAGAAATGAGAATTCATTATTTCCAAATACAAACAACCTAGGAAAAAGGAATATGCTTTTTAGCTCAACATCTACTTCACAATATAGTCAAGGTACACCTAATGATCTAGAACATATTTAACATAATAATTGCAGGGAATAACATTGAACTTTAAATGAGGTATTTTCTAGCTCTTGATATTTATACACTCAAGAGTAAATGTACACATTATCAATGACATTATAAATTAAATACAGTCTAAATACTTCCACCCCAATGCTATGTAAATCAGGATCCCACCTGTAAAGAGAAAGACAAGGGAAAATTATTTTAACAAAACTAACTTGCCTCTTTATTAAAGCAGGGCACGGGTGGGCATCTGGCCTAGGCATCTGGCCTAGCACACAGTTTAACACACCTACATCCCAGCATCAGAGAGCTGGCACAGCAGGCACATCTTCTGCTGCAAGCATCAGCATCCCATATGGGCTCCAGTTTGAGTCCTGACTGCTTCATTCTTCTTCTTCTTCTTCTTTTTTTTAAAGATTCATTTACTTTTATTAGAAAGTAAGATATACAAAGAGAAGGAGAGACAGAGAGGAAGATATTCTGTCCGCTGATTCACTTCCCAAGGGGCCATACCAGCTGGTGCTGTGCCAATTCTAAGCCAGGAACCAGGAGCTTCTGCCAGGTCTTCCATGCGGGTGCAGAGTCCCAAGGCTTTGGGCCATCCTCCACTGCTTTCCCAGGCCACAAGCAGGGAGCTGGATGGGAAGCAGGGTAGCCAGGATTAGAACCGGTGTCTTTATGGGATCCTGGCACGTTCAAGGTGAGGACTTTAGCTGCTAAGGTGAAGACACTGCACTGAGCCCGGCTGCTTCACCTCGGATTCAACTCTCTGTTTTCCCGTCTTGGAAAGCAGCAGAGGATCATGTAAGTGGTAAGTGTTTGGGTCCTATACCCACGTGGGAGACCCCAAACAAGTTCCTGACTGCTGACTTTGGATCAGCTCAGCTCTAGCTGTTCTAGCCAGTTGGGGAATGAACCAGCAAATGGAAGATCTCCCACCCAGTCTCTCCTTCTATGTAAAAATCTGCCTTTCAAGTAAAAAGAAAATAAACCTTAAAAAAAGAAAAGATACCACATCCCATCATCATGTGGATTTCCTGGATTCAGTACACAGGATTCCGTCCCTACTCCAGTCTCCTGCTGATGTAGTCCCTGGGAAACAGTGATGATGACTGAGGTGATTGGCTTCCCACCGCTCAAATGAGAGACCAGGACTAAGCTTCCCGCTCACAGCTCGGGGCTCCAGTCCCAGGCAAAGGCTGCTGCAGGTGTCTGGGGAGGGAGACAACAGCCAGGAGCTCTTTTCCTAGTTTGGTGTCTGCCTCTAAAATTAAATAAATGTGGACCCAGTGTGGTAGCCTAGTGGCTAAAGTTCTCACCTTGAAAATTTTCTCCCTTTCTCCATCATCACTCTTCTAAATAAATCTAAAAAAAATTTTTTAAAGTTTGCGAAATGGAATTAAAAGAGAAGTTTATTTTTGTGCAAAGGCAATTTTAAATCCATGCATATAGCACAATGAGTATTTTTCTCTTGAAGAAATGAAATAATGTTTTTAGCTTACAATACCGTGTTTCACTCTATAATTTGACAACTGCAAATGCCAAAGGTACAAAGGCCATCATTCTTTTTAGTTCATAGGAAATTCCTTTGCAGAAAACTTCTGATAATTATAATAAATAATATGTACATAAGCTACAAAATATTTATTTTAAAATGATACCCAGTATTTAGGTTTTACTACTACATGTTGGATACTGTTCCATGTAGAAAGAAAAGTTCTGTCTTTCAATTAAAAATCCTTCCCAGACAAAAGTTTGTCTCGTGCGATAAACCACACTGTACTGAGGCATATTACAGGAAATTTCACTTGAGTTTTATTTACAATATTTCATCTTTAGCTTTGGAGAGAAACAGGAACACAGAAATTTAATTAACAGAAATAAGTTTCTTCTCAAAATTATTATTCTGTGCCCAATATAGCTTTTTTAAAAAAGATTTATTTAGGGCCCGGCACGGTGGCGCAAGTGGTTAAAGGTCCTCGCCTTGCACGCCCGGGATCCCATATGGGCACCGGTTCTAATCCCGGCAGCCCCGCTTCCCTTCCAGCTCCCTGCCTGTGGCCTGGGAAAGCAGTCGAGGACGGCCCAAGGCTTTGGGAACCTGCACCCGCGTGGGAGACCCGGAAGAGACTCCTGGCTTCGGATCGGCATAGTATCGGCCCGTTGCGCTCACTTGGGGAGTGAATAATCGGACGGAAGATGTTCCTCTCTGTCTCTCCTCTCTGTATATCCGCCTTTCCAATAAAAAAAATAATAATAATAAAATAAAATAAAATAAAATAAATCTTTAAAAAAAGATTTATTTAATATTTATTGAAAAGAAAGAGCTAGAAAGAGTGAGGAAAGAAACAACAGGAGAACTTCCACCCACTGGTTTACTCCCCGAATGCCTGTGACTGCCAGGCTCCGGCCAGGTGAGGCCAGGAAGCAGGCCTCTAGCATGGTCTCCCACACAGGTGGCAGGGGCCATCACTGCTGCCCCCCACTGGAACATCAGTGGAACAGTCAGGACTGGAGCCAACACTGAAGGGGGATGCAATGGCTTAACCTGCCATGTCACAATGCTGGCCTTGTATATTGTTTTTTAAACTAATAGCTTAAAATGAGTTTCTGACAATAGTTTCTCATCATAGCAAGCTTGCTGATATTTAACAAAAATAAAATATACTAAATATTTATGAACAATAAAACACCCAGAAGCAAAAAGACATAAAATTAATTTGAGTGCCATACAAAAAGACTGAAAGTTTCGCTGTACACATTCACCTGTGCTCTAAAGGCCCACATCACGGGAGGGAGAAAGACCTGTCCTTGCAGCCTGGACAGCAACAACAGGAAACTCCCTCCGTGACCTTTCACACGTCTTTCTAGAGTCACACAATGGGAAACTCCCAACTGCTTAGTGTTTACAGACTCTACCTAACAAAACCTAGTGCTTACAGCACAGAATTTGTAGACAATGGAATTCTGAAGCAATAATGAAAATTTCAATAAAAAATGTAGTGCCTTATTCCTAAGATATTAAGAACAGTATCTTACAGTATCTTTCTTGCATGAAAATGACTAAAAACCCACCATGTGTGAGAAAATTAGTTTTTTTTTAATTCCCTAATGACAAAGAATGAATTTCATATCCACTTCCTTGCCTGTTTTCCAGGATGACCACAGCTTCATCTGACAAGCACCTTTTGGTCATGCTGTAAGCTACCCATCTCTAAGAGTTGTTCATTAAAAGGCTGTATTTTAATTTAGAATTCTATGGATTTGCGATAACCTCAAAGACTACTAGCAGAGGGAGAAGGTCTACCCATACAGCAGCCCCTGACAGCAGGAAAGAGGTTTTCCAGGCACCCCTTCAACGTCCTTGAGAGTCTCACGGTTGGAACCTTCCAACCCCCTTATGTGTCACAGCTAGTCAAGACATCCTTGCATTTATAGACTTTACCTAACCAAAGGCCAAAGGTCAAGGGTAAAGTCAAGGGTAGACTTCAGAGGTCTAGAACAGACTTTAAAACATCAGTGTCTTACTGAAACAAAATAACCCATGACAGCAAGAGTCATGCATTCTGCCTACCCAAAAATTTACAGTTGAATCTACATCATTAGATATTAAATACAATTTAAATAACTAGAAATTTCATGGATGTTTGAGATTTAAAAATACACATTAAACATCTAACTAGTTAAACTTTTGTAAACTACTCAAATATGACTTTTTATATAAGATTGATTACAACTGAAAAAAAATTCAAAGGATGGCATTGGACTGGAAAAAAATTCAAAGGATGGCATTGGGCATGGTGGTGTACATGTCTGCTTCGGACGCCCGCCTCACATCCTGCAGTCCCAGCTGCTCTGCTTGGGAGACGGCAGACAACGGCCCAAGGGTTTGCAGCTCTGCCTCATGAAACTCAAGGAGAAAGTTTCAAGCTCTAATTGTCATGGACCAGATCCAGCAGATTAGACATACGGGGAGTGAACCAATAGATAGAGGATCTTGATCTCTCTCCATCTCACAAAAAAGTAAGTAATTTTAAAAAGCAAATCCACTTGTTAAACATTTCATTGATCAAAACTGTCATGAAAGGGAAACTGCGTTATTTATTTTCTAATAGATGTGCTGAAGTCAATAATAATTTACATGGTCTGGCAGTCATTGGGTGACAGAGTGATTCATGCAAGGAAACACACATTATTTACATACAGGAAATTAAAACAAATATGTTCCTATTTTATACACAGAGGTGGTGAATGCACGCAAAAATGTACTGTTCTTTTTTATTCTTGGTTTGTCTGTTTTCGTAGAAATATGAAACAAAATAATCATTTTCTTTGTCAGAATACATGCTTTCTATACCAAGATTAAGAGAGGGATACAAGTAAGGCCTAATGGAGAATAATCTATAAGAGGTATTCAAAAAGTTAATGAGATTGTGTATTACAACAAAACTACACATGAGCTTCAAACAATTTTATACCCAAATGAACATTTTTATTCTCTTTTGCTCATAAATACTGTGAAATTCCCTCATATATAAATCAGGTCATTGTCTGGTTCACGAGCCCTAGAAGATTTTTGCAGTTTTGGTACTTCAGGGATGTACTTCCAAATACATTTAAAAGGCACATAGAAAGAACTCCTAACACTTCTGAAGCAAAACTCATTAGTAGAATTAAAAGCTTCAATAGATCATGAAGGACATGGAAAAGCTAATGAATCTCAATAATCCCAGTCTAAACGAAGGCAAAACTGGAAAACAGTGATAAACTGCAAACACTAAAAAGGCAATGAAAATATGAAAATGATCAAATGAGTCTGGTCCTGTGGGTTGGAATGACCAGGCAATAATCCAATACATTATGGCAGATAATCTAGACATTACATACAAAAGTACCAACACAGAATTTATTGAACACACAAAACTAAACAATTATGCTATGTGGTTACTTAGCTGGTTAAGGAACTTACTATTTGGTTACTGTAATACTGTATCTTTTAAAACAGATTATCCTGATCTTTGAAAGAAAGATACAAATTACAACATAGCTAATCTGGCTGGTCTAAATAGTCAAGAAACTGGAAATCATATGTTTAAATAACACAAATAACAAAATCAATGTGAATAAATTAAAATTTCCCACTATAAGAAAAAACCTTTCCACGAGCAGGTGGCAATGTAGCCAAGTTATCCAACAGTATGTAACCAGAACACTGAGGAGAGCTTTTATTCTGCAAACATTTTGCTTCTTATTGTTAACAAAGAAAGAGGTAACATTAAAGTCCCTAGTGCTATTTCAGTAATAAAAGGTCAAATTTCTTTTGAATTTTGTCTTTTTAAACAACAAAAATAAGAGTAAGATCGAAATGCTTGGCCACTCATTTGTGCACCATTGGAAGAACACAGCAATGTGTGGCTCCACACTGAAATTAAAACTCAGGATTCTAAAAGGAAAAAAAGAACAGAGAAAGACAAGGATGAAGGGCAGGGAAAAAGAAGAGAGATAAAAGAAAGGAAGTGACAAGAAAAGAACAGGATGTTGGGACACCAGGGAAAAACTAGTCAAGGACAAAAGAATAAAGATGGTGGGAAAATTAAGACAGAAAAGTGGCTAAGATTCAAAAGAAGGTCAAATACTAAATTTTGAAAATAAGATTCTATTAAAGAAAAGAGAATTTTTATAGCTCCCTCAACTTTGCAATAATAATATTAATAAAAAGCCACTGGTACAAATGCAAACGTAAGCACTAGCAGTTAAGATTAAGCAATGGCCTGAATGGCTCTTTGAGCAAGCCCTGAATACGTGGACAAAGGGACAGGAAAAGGAACTTGTGGCTAATGTGGAGAGACTACATTTTCTGTAGCTACAAAAAATTAATTTACTAAAACTGAACAAACTATCTCATATCCCCCTGGTAAATGTTATTATTATTTATTATTTCAAGAGATGGAATTTTATGTTTTCTGACAAGATATAAAATTAATTCTGAGGCAAATACACCACCATGGCTAGAATTCAAACGTACTGGTGGGTGTTCAGCCAAGTGGTTAAGATGCTAGGACTGGATTCAAGTTCAGTCCTGCCTCCACCATACACCACCACTGGGGGGCAGCAGGTGACTCTCAAGTGTCTGACCATCTGGGAGACCTGTACTGAGCTCCTGGCTCCCAGCTCCAGGCTCCAGGGTCCTACTCTGACTAGTCCAGCCCTGGCAGTTATGGGTTTTGCAGAATAAACCAGCAGATGGCAGGTCTCTCTTCTCTTTCCTCCCAACCCTTCTCTCCATGCCTTTCAAATCTAAGTAAATAAATGGTACATTTTTAAAAATCTCAGTTTTTAAACTGAAGGACTGGCTGAAGATTTAACTTCAGGAGTAGATAACTGTACAATATTTGATAAGAATTTCTCAGAAATTTTACTTCCCCAGGATGCCTTGGCTTCAAAATATTAACACATCTGCATCCCTAGTCTAACCTTACACCAAAACATTTCTAAATCCTACTATGTTTGATCTAAACTAATGATAAATTCAGAAAAAAAGAAATGAGAAACCAAGATGGACAGCCATCTGTTTTTGGTACAACTACGTCTGTAATTAGTTGGAAAAAAAGAAAGTATTACACTTACTCATACCACTGTTTATTGTGTTTTCGGTAAAGCAACGTATCCAAGGCAACAGCACTGGCATCCAGAGCTCCTGGGGAAGGCCACTGGTTGGTGAGGTGGGCAGTTAACTCTCGTCTTGATCTTAAATCATTATTCTTTAGCACAGTCCTGTGAACATTAAGATGGTGAGTGCTTCCGTCTTCACTGCTCTCCAATGGCAGAGGAACCTAACGGCATCATTTCACGCCCCGACAATGCACCTCTGAAAACGGAATGTCAACCGACTGTGAACACAACAGGGCTGGCTGCGACCAGGGCTGTTTCGTCCCCTCCGCATGTGCTGGCCATGCTTTCTCTATAGCTACAATAAATCACGACTCTCCATCTTTCCCATAGAGGTTACTAAGGAAAGACCCATGCAGCACATTACATGTAACTACAAAACAGCAGCAATATCATAAAGATACAGGTTATCAGATGTCAGTGAAAATGTAAAGATCCCATATGTGTGATTTTCTAGCTTCAAAACTTAGAAACAATCTTTTATAAATACTTTTATAAAGTAATGAACTCAATAAACAAAAAGCAAATAAAGCAGAGGCATGAGAATAAAAATTTTAAACTCCGTGAGCTTCCCCGAAGTGTCTCTGACAAAAGTGACTACTACTAAGTCTTCATGAAAGTGAACAATAACTCAATGATAACTGCATTGGATATCATCCACTGGAAATGTTTCAACTGGAATAATGAAACCACTATAGCAACTCACATTTGTGAACTATTTTGTAGATTTGTGACTTGTTAATAACAGCTTGCCAAGCAATTAGCTTTGCCATACTTTCAAATTCACAAACCAAAATAATCATTGTCACAAGACAAATCAACATTTACACTGATGGTTAAAGATCATTTAAAAGCAAAAGCTTTACCTCTATTAGGCTTTAATAATCATCTAAGCACCCTGCATCTTCAGACAGCAGTCCATGACTTTAGTGTATCAAGGAAGTAAAGTGTGCCCACCACTAACTTCCACAGACAATAGTCCTGTTGTGGGTGGCAAGAGAGATGAGTAAGTGAGGTGTTGGCAGCATAATCCTGCACTAAAGAAAGTTAGCCTGCACACCACCTCTCATCATTGGCCACGAATCTAATGGAAAACCATGCTGACAGGATCCTACAGGCTACACATGAATACCTTATATAACAGGTTACCCACGTCCATATAAACTATCCACTATGACCACAAAGAAACATTATCTGACTTTTCTCAGACCAGTATGCTAGATGCAAGCTGAAAAGGTATTGCATTATACTCTATCTCTCTACATGTATTTGTTGTTGTTGACAGCCTTAGTTCCATTTCACTGGAAAACAAATGAAATTTCTAAAGTACTTTAACATAGTTTTAAATGCAAAAATACATTTTTTGTTAAAGTGACTAGAAAATGGTTTTATATTGAAGGAGAAATCATGTAAAATAGAACCAGAAATTAGAGGCAGTGTCTTTAGATGTTTATGCTTACAAATTTTAAACACAGTTGTCTTCTGTAGGCAGCGCCCTGGCCTTCTAAACCTAGACACAGATTTCACTCACACACATCTTTTTCCATCTTTTGTGAGGGATGTGAAGACAATAAAATCCTGAATTTGCTCTATCCCTAGGAAGAACAAGTCTCTCGGGAATCTGTGTGGGGTACCTTCCATCTCCATTCCTGTATTCTAGGGGGTTAGGCCAGTGGACTGGGCTAGGTTAAAAATCTTCCCTGTAGACAGCATGCCCAGATGCATACAGGGGACATGGCAGCCAGCTCATCTAGGCCAGCAGAGGACACTGAGTGCCTGTCAGAGGATGGAAAACAGAATAGGTTGGACCATTCTTCTGGCCAAGCTTTGCAACCTGTTCCTGGGCCTGTAGATGCATTGAGGTGGACTTGGCTAGCCAATAGACCTCAGGAAGATTTTCTCAACTCTGGTGCAATGTTTCAGAACTACCAAAACCTCCCCAGTACACCCCGGAACATCCTTCCCCCATATCGTGCTCTTTAAGGCATCATCGGATGACTGCCTCCATCTTCAGGTGCTGAAGCAGTTTGATAAGCAAGCTGTGGTCCCTCTACTACCAGCCACTGAGGACACAGGAGCTAAAAAATGAAAACATTTGTCCTCACCCACCTTGCTCCATACTTCCACTCTCCTACCTAATCCCACCCATGACTCTCATGGGCATGCATCCCTCTCAACTATGTAAACAATATTTTTAAAAAGATTAAAGAATTACTTCCTGTATTCTGAATCTTGACTGGAATCTACTTCAAGCAGCACATAAGCAACGTCATTGACTAGCTGACCAGAATGGATCAGCAAAGAGATCTTCCTGCAACGTCTGGTCCCCAGCCCTGGAGCAGCTCCATGAGCTCCCCAGGCTCACTCCTCTGCTCTTTCTAGCCATTCTGTGAGTCGCTTTCTGTCTTTCTAATGAATTCTCCATGTGCTAGAGAGTTGGCTGTGTTTGCTTATGACAAAAGAATCATATTATTTACCTTAGAACAAGCAAAATATCCCACAGTCATATCAAGACCCATGAGAAGATGATTTAATGGGCATCAATACGAAAAATGACAGTCTTTTTCTCATTTGGCCAAGGTTTAAAGTAAAACTACCTTACGCGGTAACTGACATTGCTCAATTGTGCAACATTAGTGGCAAAGTTACAATATGAAATTAGCTTTAGTAAAACTAACACAGATAAAGACTTAAGCTGAAATCAGTCAAGTAAAAGATGTTCTAGATAAAATAAAGTCTACTAGTCAGTTTTCTGTGATTTAGTCAACTTAGTATTATCTAATTAAGGCATGAGACTCCAGAAGATACATCAAAGGAAAACTATTTAACCCTCTCTAGTAATGTGGAGCATTCTGTGGGAATTTTAGGATTTAAAAAAAAAAAAAGATTTACTTATTTTTATTTGAAAGGTAAAGTTACAGAGAAAGAAGGAGAGAGAGAGAGAGAGACATCTTCCATATACTGGTTCACTTCCCAAATGGACACAATGGCTGGAGTGGGGCCCACCTGAAACCAGGAGCCAGCCAGCTACTTCCTCTAGCTCTCCCAAAAGGGGGCAGGGTCCAAGGACACAGGCCATGCTCCACTGATTTCCCAGGACAAAAGCAGAGAATTAGCTCAGAAGTGGAGGATGCTGGCACTGCAAGCATGATTAGCCCCCACGCCACTACACTGGCACCTCATTAATACATTTTAAGATAATACATAATAAATCTAATAAATATATAAGGAATAAAGGCAGAATAATACGCTAATCCTCCACCTGCCGTGTCAGCATCCCATATGGGCCCATTTGCTTTCTGGATGCTTCACTATAGATCCAGCTCCCTGCTTATGGCCTAGTTCTCTTGGGAGCCTGCACCCATGCGGGAGACCCAGAGAAGGCTTCTGGCTCCTGGCTTCGGAGGAGCTCAGCTCCAGCCATTGTGGCCTGGGGAGTAAAACAGTAGATGGAGGATCTTTCTCTCCGTGTGTCCTTTTCTCTCTACAAATCTACCTTTCCAATGAAAATAAATAAATCTTTAAAATAACAATAAATATGCAAGGAAAAAACACATTTCTATTTCAAATACTGGAAATGCATCATTTTTACCCAAAAGAGCAAGAAAAAATTAAATCTGCAAGAAGTCACAACAAGCAAACTTGCAGTGCAGCAGATGTACACACACTGCACATCAGAGTAACAGGGAAATATTTAAAACACATCAGAATTCAAGTCTCAATAAAGATCAATGATACAACCTGTCATGTTGGTAGAACCTGACCAGTTACTTTTTTATACTCCTTACATGAATATAAATATGCACAAATTTTTGTTTTGTTTAATAACACAATTCCAAGGGCTCAGCACAACAGTGCAATGGCTAAATTCTCGCCTTGCACACATCAGGATCCAATATCAGTGCCAGTTTGGGTCCTGGCAACTCCACTTCCCATCCAGTTTCCTACTTGTGGCCTGGGAAAGCAGTCGAGGACAGTCAAAGCCTTGGAATCCTGCACCCACGCGGGAGACCTGGAAGAGGCTCCTGGCTTCAGGTCAGCTCAGCTCTGGACATTGTGGCCACTTGGGAAGTGAACCAGTGGATAGAAGATCTTTCTCTCGGTCTCTCCTTCTCTGTAAATCTGCCTTTCCAATAACCATAAAATAAATCTTCAAAAAGAAAACAACAACAACAACACAACCCCAGCTGTCTCTTGTTTTCCTCTTTGGTTGGATCTTTTTCTTCCACTCAATCCTTAACTGTTGGTACTCTGCAAAATTCTACCTACTCTATTTTCAAAATCAGAGTTACAGAGAAAAGAGGAAACCAAGGAATCTTCCATCCCCAAATGGCTGTGACAGCCAGAGCTGAGCTTATCTGAAGCCAGAGCCAGGAACTGTTTTTGGGTTTCTCCTGTGGGTTCAGGGGCCCAAGGACCTGGACCAACCTCGATTGTTCTCCCAGATCATAACGGACAGCCGGGACACAAACTGGTGCCTATATGGGATGTCAGCAGGTGGAAGCTTAGCCAAACCGTGATACAAGCCCCCTCATGCATATCCCAATTTAAATGGAATATTTAAGCCTAGCTCCTCAGAGCAGTAACTGATGCCACAGGAAAACACACAGCATGAGCTTAGTGTATCTTTTGCTGGCAATCAAGGATGTTACCAAAGATCAACAGGTCATGTCAGAAGGACAGGGAAACCAGCATGAGAAAATGGGACAGTGCGAGCATCCAAAGAGAAGCAAACGTGGGTGACGGCAGCAGCAGCAACGAAGGCGCTTACGCTGAAATGCAGCAGCAAGGAACACACGATCACACAGCCGATAGCCAGCCTCACTAGCACACTAGGGTTAGCAGCTCACAGCTCAAAATCTTTTCAACTTTTTAACCACACATCAACAAAAGCAATAATGATCCTAATAATAAAGATGCTTTAAGTGCTTCTATAGTAAAGAAATTCTACACTAAATGCAGACTCTTAACAATTATAAAGCAAGAGGCTTTGATAGAAGAGGGCCAGGAAGGTCTAAGGATACAAGGTCTGAGGCTTGTCTTAAAGGGAAGGATCACTTCCAAGACTAAGCTGACCAGAACCTAGGGAATCCAGCACAGGAGTTTCATGCACAGTGGGAGAGAGACTGCCTTCTACTGGTGGCTAGTAGTATCTTGTGTTAAACTAAGATTCAGTACCCTGGGGGGGTAGAGAGTGGGGGAGAACCATCCCTGAATTTATGAATTTTATATACGCTAACTCATACTGTAGGAGAGAACACATATGACAAGTCTGTAATTATTCTCCAAAGGAAGATACGGAAAATGAAAGACAAAAATCTTTATCTCATTGATAACCATTAAGAAGTTGTGCATCAGTATTCCACTTTAAAAACTGATAATATTGCATAAGAATTATTTCAAGGCCATCTCCAGAAACTCTTACTAACCAAATGATGGAAAGTTCATATTTTTAATTTTCAGCAGTAACAACAGGAAATGACTATTTTGTAAGCCCTGACTAACCCAATGCACTAGGCCACACTCCCTCATGGTTCAAGCCAGGGAATGGACCTGGAACTTAAAACCATTTTCCTGCTAACGTGTACCCTGGGCAGGCGAAGGTGATGGCCCCCAGGACTGAGCCCCTGCCACCCACACGGGAACACTGGACCAAGTTTCCGGTTGCCTCCTTCAGCCTAACGCCGCCCTGGCCCTGGGAGGCATGTGGAGAAAAAGCTGCAGCAGCCCTCTGGGTCTCTCCACTTCCCAGAAGAAAAGTAATTTTTTAAAAAACTTTAGAGAAAATATATCAGGTATGGATTTCAACACTTTGAAATAGGGTAAAAAAGATTTAATTTTCTACTTTTCTGAGTGAATTTCCTGAGGTAATTTTAGGCTTCAGTAAACCAACACAAGGCTCTTTGAACTCCTTCTTTCCCCCAATTAAACTTTCCTTATAATACCCAATACTCATCATGACTTGTCATGACTCATTACAACAGGATTCAGTTTACAGACAAAGAAACAAAGGTTGTAGGATGCTGTAACATTTGGAAAAGCAGTGAAGACTGAAGAACCGCACTGATTTGATCATTGAACTGTGAAAACTACACTGAGGCATGAAGGCATGAAGAGGCTTGGTGTTTGCCACTTTTCAGGCTGACGATCAAACGTGTGTGTAAGAGTGAAGGGAGAGAGCTAAACAGCACAGCACCGAACACTGGTCAATACAGGCAAGCCACACACGAAATACTCTGTACTATCCCTGGAACTTAACCAAACGCTTGAGACTATTTCAAAAACAATCAAAACTCACCCTTATAACTAACCAAATTTCGACATGTGAAGATTTTCACTATAAACAATCAGTTGATAAAAGCAAGTCTGACATAATGATATGAGAAGTACAAACGCTTTGAATAGAGACAGTCCCAGCAGCTTGTACCAAAAGGCGGCTCAACATACTACAGATATCTTAATCCATTAAAACCATGCTACAGAAAAAAGCCAGCTACACTCAGCTGTGCACATTCTGGGTAGGTTACACACAAGCATGGTATTTTGAGTACCACTGTTTTAATGTACCATCTTTTTGTAATCAATTAGTAGCTGAACAAATCAATACTATAAAAATTAGGTATATGTATTTGGAAGAATTTTCACCAAGTTCTAAGCATTAACTCTGGGTAGCACAACTGAAGGTGATTTTTGTCTTCTTCTTACACATTCTAGTGCTTCTGCAATGAACACAAACTACTTACATAATAACAAAAATAAAAGCAAACTTAAAAATGTAACCAAAATAAAATTCAACAGCATGCGTCAAATTTCTTAGATGTTGATTATGTTAAAATACAACACTTTGTCTCAATGTTTACATACTGTCAAAAATTTTCTAAAAGATTCTCACTTACAGCTGATCTTGAAGTTCCACAATTATATATTCTAACTGTTCTTTTTCTAATTTATGGGCCAGATCAGAATCTTCAATCCGCTGAAGCAGTATTTTATTCTGCGAGACAGATTCAGACAGCTGGTTCTCCCGAAGTCTTAAAAGTTCTTCAAGATAACCCTGGAAATAGAGCATCACCAAGATATAACAAATGCAAAGTTCTAACAGCTACACCTTGAAGACAAACACTGAGTAGCTTAATAAGCTTTTCAATATATTTTGATATGTGATCCTTTCAAAGAGTTAGTAATAAGTTAGTTTAAAAACTGTTAGCTAAACATAAAAACTTCACATTTAATCTCCTTAATTTGAATTTCTTCCTTAAATTAAGAAAATTTGCTTGAAACTTAAGGCAAAACTTAAAATACAGCAATTTCTAAGCTCCCCAACAACAGTGATAAATGTATGCCTATCTGCCTCAAACCACAGACCTTATTACAGAATCACCAATCAGGAATCTGCTGATCGCCTATTTGGGGAGGCAGGATGATGTTTTCAGCAGACCTGCAGGCTGGGGCAGCTGACTGCACCTGTCAAATGTCTCATCATCTAACAGGTCAGAACAGTAAGAGCACCCGACGGGGAGCATTCACTGACTCTGTGGACACCTCGGGACTTGAGCCAGCCTTGCATCCTTTCACTCATCTGCTCTATGTCTTCTGCTCTTCTTTCTGGAACACCCTCAATTTATTCTCTAGACCCTGATACTGAATTAATGAATTTAGAAAAGCATGGTATGAATTTTTAGTAGCTCCTGTTCTGTGCTTGTTTCCTTCCAATGGTAGCTTATTCTTTATAGTTGCAACGTGCTTTCAAATATCTTTTGAGAATGTTAGAATTTTTTTCTTGAAGTACTCTTGACTATACCATTACATGTTATTGTATTCATGTGTCATGAACACCATTTCAGCTGTTACACTTTTATAATATACTTTAATAGTAGCTAATGCACTATTTGGTGTGGGAATTTGTTGTTACTCCTGACAATTCTCAAATGTTGTTTTGGTGGGACAGGCATTTGGCACAGTGATAAAGACATGGCATGAAACACTGTGCCTCATAGCGGAGCGTCTTGAGGGTCCCATTCCAGTCCCTGCCCAACCCTGAGGCCAGCATCTTGGTAACACTCACCCTACGATGGCTCTAGTAATTCAGTCTCTGCCACCCATGCATGGGACAGGGAAACCTGCTTTTGGTCTGGTTCAGCTCAGGCTGCAGGGGCGTTAGGAAGTAAACTGGCCAACGGAAGTTGTCTCTTCTTCTATTTTTAAAAAAATTATTAGAAAGGCAGATCATATTTACAGAGAAAAGGAGAGATAGAAACATCTTCTTCCTGTTGGTTCATTCCTCAAATGGCCAAAACAGCCAGAGATGAGCTGATCTGAATCCAAAGGAGCCTGGAGCTCCTTCCTGTCTCCCACAAGAGTGGTAGAGTCCCAAGACTTTGTGCAGTCCTCTACTGCTTTTTCATAAGCAGGGAGCTGGACGGGATGTGCAACATCCAGGACACAGGTCCATGTGGAATCCTAGTGCCTGCAAGGTGAGGATTCAGCCACTGAGCCATCGTGCTGGACCTAGGAGCTGCCACTTTCGCTGCCTTTCAATCAAGTTTTTAAAACGTATTTTTTGTTTTTCCATAATAAGATCTTAACAATTGAAGTTATTTCTTACAAATGAGCTATTTTATATGCTGCATCAACATATAAAGCTTCATAGAAACTATCTATGGATACTTCTCAATGTAGGTAAACATTCACATATTCTGCACCTTGATGAATCACTTTCATGGTCAACAGAATGCCTGCCTCCTTTCCAAGGACAAATCCTGCGACCTGTGCGACCCCCTAGCCTTTCCTTCCAGTTTGACCCAAAAGCATGATCTTTTCAACAAACCGTGTTTTAGTTTTGCTGTGTGTTGCCTACATTCTTGGGAAATGTCTTTGCTCTCATTTCCGCTGTGTGAGTGCTACTCTCCTGAGGATCATCATGTGGGCTGTGCTGGTCTCAGACACCAACTGTGCTGCTGGGGAGCCACATGTCTCCCGGGACACACAGCCAGGAGCTCCTAGCAGCCATCCTGGGACACGGGCCATGCTTATCTTCCTGTCGACCAGACACACAAACTATCCTGGCTGCTGCATTCATCATAATTAAATTTCCGCCAGCCAGTATAAGAATATGGCCTCTCTTTTTTTCTGTCCTTTTTTTTTCACTTTGTCTCTACACATTCTGGCTTCAAATGAATAAATAAATTTCAAAAAATGTTGGCAGCTATTCTATGTGTACTAGAAAATATGTACATTACATGTATTTTAGAACAAACTAATTGTGTTTTTCACATTCATTGCATTCTAATTTTTCTGTTAGCTAAGAAACTACTCTCAAAGATGGTAAAAAGAGTGTCTAATACAGTTTTAGATTTATCAATATCTCCTAGACATAGCCTTGGGTTTCATATTTTTATAGCTGTAAGCTAAGTAAACATAAGAAGGCACTGTTACACATTCTTATTGAATTATTTTTAGCAAGCAATCCATCTCTTTAGTCTTAAAAATGTTGACACTAGGGCCCCAGCAAGACGGCTCAGTGGCTAAATCTTAGTCTTGCATGAGCTGAGTTCCCATGTGGCTGCTGCCTCATGTCCCTGCTTGTGGCCTGGGAAAGTAAGTAGTAGAGGACCGCCCAAAGCCTTGGGACCCTGCACCCATGTGGGAGACCTAGCGAAAGCTCCTGGGTCCCAGCTTCAGCTGAGTTCCAGTCATTGTGACCATTTTGCAGGTGAACCAGTGGATGGAGGGTCTTACTCTGCTGTTTCTCTTCTCCTCTGTAAATCTGTCTTTCCAATAAAAACAAATACATACATGGACCCAGCATGGTGGCCTAGTGGCTAAAGTCCTCGCCTCACATATGCTTGGATCCCATAAGGGCACTGGTTCATACCCTGGTGGTCCCACTTCCCATACAGCTCCCTGCTTGTGACCCAGTAAAACAGTAGAAGATGGCCCAGAGCTTTGGGACCTTGCACCTGTGTGGGAGACCTGGAGGAGGCTCTGGGCTCCTGCCTTCAGATCAGCTCAGCTCTAGCCACTGCAGCCGCTTGGGGAGTGAATCAACAGATGGAGGATCTTTGTCTCTCCTCTTCTCTGTATATTTGACTTTCCAATAAAAATAAACAAAAAATAAATGCATCTTATAAAATACATTATTTTTTAAATGATGCCAAATAGACTTGCTTTGGTTAATATTTACCTACTATGATTTTTTTCCCTAGTTCCTACTGTTCTATCATTTAAAAATACATCTCTTTTATAAAGATGCTGGAAAATGTTTACAACTATTATTTAATAAATCAAGAATGTGTCTTTACTGGCAAGTTTATATACCATTTTTTGGTAAGGCTGCCTCTCTTGATTGTATTTAGATTTATTTCTGCCACTCTGCGTTCTCTTTTTACTAGACCCATTTTTTCTTATTTACTCCTTCTCTTACACTGACCAAGTTTTGTCATTTCTTTTCCCTATTACTAGTTTAAAATCTAAACACTCAGTTTCTATTCTTTTCATTGCAACTCCAAATGTTAATTTTGGAAGCACACATGCACATTAAGAAAATGTCTCTATCCCCTTTTTATTATATAACACAGGGGGTTTTAAAGGCTTTGCTTCAGTCATCTTCTGTTACACTTTTTGATACTGATATTGTTAGTCAATGTTTTAATTCTAGTTTTCTTTCGTTTTCCAAGGAAATTTAGCATTTCCTAATTGATATTTTACAACTGCCCATGTTTTTGCAGTCGTTTATATTTCCATTCTCTAGCAGAAACACTGCGTAAGGACCAGCATGGTGGTGCAGCAAGATAATCCTGTCTGCAGCACCAGCATCCCATGAGTGCCAATTCGTGTCCTGGCCGCTTCACTTCCCATAGAGAAGGACTGCTCAGGTCCTTGGAGCCTGCACACACGTGGCAGACTCAGAAGTTGTTCCTGGTTTCTGGTTTAGATAGACTGGCTCAGCTCAAGCCGTTGTAGCCATCTGTGTGAACCCTCTTTCCTTCTTTCTATAAATTTAACTTTCAAATTAAAATTTTAAAATCCTTCTTTTTAAAAGAAACATTACACAATGAATGGCGTTCTAGCACAATTTCCCCAATTTTGTCTTCAGTAATATCACAGCAGTATGTTTACTGTGTGGCCATAATGAGAATATCCACCCACAGAAACTGACTCCATTCTGCAGATCAGGGCTCCTCCCTCCACACACCACTGTGACTCAGCACTGCCTTTTTTTTCCTGTTTCACTTAGTCAAAGTTTATTCAATGCATTTCTTTAGTCTTTTGCAAGTCACTCCTGCTTCCTAGGTTGAGTTTCTATTTGGAATTACTGTGGACCTTCACCTGCTGCTCCTGTGTGTACTGAAGAGGCACAAGCACCTAGCTAAAGTGGCTCTGCCTGCATCCCGGGGCCTGCAGTGACTTCAGCTCACATACTTGTTCCTCTCGTTTCCAGGTCCTTCCGTTTTCAATCCCTGAAGGGAACGTTTTCTTTAGGAGGCAGGTCCCCAAGAAACATTCTAAAAATTATATTCCACTGGTCATTTCAAATGACTGCATCTGATATACTGCTGTTTCTAGAAGGTTCTTTAGGTTATATCTTTAGGGATCTTTTTTCTTTTACAGTCAAAGCAGCATGTGTCTATATATAGCAAATCCATTCATATAGGTAAAAGCACAACCTTTTTCTCCATGCATCTTGAATGTATGAAATAAACTTTTCACGAAAGGAAAACAATTGTCTTATTTTGTTTTAAAAGTTAAAATTAGGAGAAGTTTAACAAAAAATAGCCTTCCTTAAAACATTACCTGATTTTTAATTAATAGGAAAAAAAGGGCAGTAGCAATGGGGTAATAATTTTGTTTAGTTAAAGTATCTCTTTGCGGGACTCAGGGCATAGCTTAGTATATTAAGCCTCTGCCTGCATCACCAACATCCAATTTGGGTACCTGTTCCAGTCCTGGCTGCTCCACTTCCAATCCATCTTTCTGCTGCTGTGCCTAGGAAAGCAATGAAGGATGGCTGAAGTCCTTGGATTCTTACACGCACAATGGGAGATCCAGAAAATGTTCTGGCTTCAGAGCAGCCAGTTCCCATCATTGCTGACATCTGAGAAGTGAACTAGCAGGTGGATGATATCTCCCAATTATCTCTCTCTCCACTCTACCCCCCGACCTTTTCAAGTAAAAGCAATAAATCATTTTAAAAGAGCTATTTCTTTTTCGTGGAACAGAAGACTCACAGAGACAGCAAGAGAGAAAGACCCTCCATCTGCTGGTTCACCCTTGAAGTGGCCACAATGACTAGAGCTGAGCTGATCTGAAGCCAGGAGCCAGGAGCTTTTCCTAGGTCTCCCATGTGGGTGCAGGGTCCCAAGGCCTTGGGCCATCCTCTGCTACTTTCCCAGGCCACAAGTAAGGAGCTGGATGCAAAGTGGAAGAGCTGGCACATGAACCGGCACCGATACGGGACCCTGGCGCAATGCAGGATGAAAATTTAGTCATTGGGCCATTGCAACAGGCCCCAAAATAAATAAATCTTTACGAAAAAAAATCTATTTGTAGTTAACAGTTCAAAGGCAGTAAGATTCAAATTAAGTGATTTTGGACAACTGATGAATACCTTCTGTTCTAGGGTGAGCTGGTACTTCTGTTTAACTCTCTTACATTTGTTGAACCAACTGTTGTCATCTGTAATGAAAGGAGGCCCCACGTTCTCTGGAGTGCTGCTTTCACTGCCGCTGCTGCCTAACGTCCTCAGCTCCTCCTCGTCACTGCTGATACTGTCAGAGCTGAGAAGACCAACATTACACAGATTAGTATTTTGTTCCAATTTCATTATTTACATCTAGATTCAGAACTAAACACACAATTATGATAATAACACTATTACAAAGAAGTCAGCTTCCTAAACAGATTGCAAGATACCAAGGCTGCTGACTTGTCACAAACTCAAGCCTGGAAATGCTACACAAGTGAAGTTTACAAATCCAAGGAGTCAATAACAAGCAGGACACTGTCCAGAGGACAGAGAATAGATTTCTAAGGAACTTCAGAGGCGTGGCAAGAGCAATTCAGCGAGGCTCCTCAGCGCCTCCCAGTGGACAGCCTGTACAAGCTCCATGGCAAGGCAATGTGGAGAGCCGCACTTCCCAACAATGCCAGAGGGAGGAATGCTCAAGGACAGCCAACAAGAAGACAAGAGGTTCCAAGGAACCCAGTCATTCCTATGTACTTCCCACTTGTGATGAGATGGAGAGATGGAGGTACAGCAGAGAAAGCACCCACCGCAATTCACATTAAAATATTCCCTATGCCATCAGAACAGAGGAGTACAGAATATACAAAAAATAAATAAATAAATAAATAAAAGAGGAGAAAAGGAACAAATCGAAGTGTGCTAAGATCACTTTCCAGATCAGACAAAAATAATCAGCGTTTAAACATTTAAAAAGAAATAGGAAATATACATTTAAAAAAATCTGAAAAATCATTGTAACAGATAAACATCTGATGGCAGGGGAGGGAGACAAATATGGTTAAAATTTGTGACAAAACACATGCTTTGTAAGGGTTAGGGGAGGTAAGAGGCATTACACAGCTGTCATGTTTCCTGAAACCACATGTCCCCAAAACCATATTTGTATTTCATCAGTCCTGGGAAAATACTGAATAAAAGATACAACCTTATTTTTATGAACCTCTAAGAAATCAAAACAACTATGGCATATCATTAATTGTCAAAAGTGTTAAAAGGTGATGAGGTCAACATGGTATAGCAATAAAGCCTGTTTATGCCACGAGCATCACCTACAGGTGCCAGTTCTTGTTCTGACTGCTCCACTTCTGACTCAGACTGGCAAAACAGTGGAAGACAGACCAAGAGTTTGGGTCCCTACCACCCATGTGGATTCCCAGATGAAGCACCTGGTGTGGACCCTGCTGAATCCTGGCTATTGTCGCCACCTGGGCAGCAGCAAATGGACACTCTCTTGCTTTAGGTCTCCCCACTTCTCTCCATACCCCTGCCTTTTGAGTAAATGCATCTTTTATTTTCATCTGTAGTGCTCATCATTTTTTCTTCAGTTATCTGTAATATAGTACTTAGGACACAGTAAGCATTCAATAAATATTATCCGAACATATCCCCAGTCAGCGACTACTTCTACATTCTCCTTGTTTCTGTAGCTCTGGGTAGTTATTTAGCATAATTTCAGCAGCTACAAGCGTGATCTTGAACAAATCCCACTTTGCAGAAACTGCTTTCTTTTTTTTAAAAAAATGATGTTTACATAGTTGATGAGGGTGGGAAGAGTCAAGGGTTAGAAGAAACGGGGTGAGACCATTGTTTCCACATTCTTTTCTTGTCTTCATGCAGCTGGAAAAAGGGAGGAGATATGAGAAGAAGCTACACCCAGCCTCCCAACTGCCTCTGTACCCTGGGATATGGAGCAGCCTCCTCATGTCATCCCTGGGTCCCCAAAGTGGGACATGCTCCAATGGTCCTGCTCAAGTGGTTTTGACAATTCAGTGGTTCTGAATTATCGATCTTGCTCACTAGCTGACATGGTCCACCTTAGTGTTCATATGCCCAGATATTCACTGCTAACGCACGGCTGGGATAGTTGATCGATTTGTTCTGCCCTCCTTCCTCTCCTATGTTTCCAGGTGTCCTCTATAGGCTATAATGGACACCCATATCTCCGTGTGCATCTGGATATGCCATCTACTGCTCCATCTAAGCCACTGAGGAAATCCAGCTCTGACACATGCACTCCACGGTCAGACCATGGAACCTGCGATTCTCTCCATGGTTGGAGTTCTGAGTTCCCAGAAAAACCTCATCTGAGGTGATCCCAAACCTGATTCCTGTATGTGCTTGCCAGTATAGGTTCCAACACAGTACGTCACCCCAATCATTCTACATGCACACCAGTGGTTGCAATTGCAGGGTCATTTCTGGCTCCAGCTTTGTCTCCTATGCAAACCAATGGGTGTTGCAGCCTATCCTGACCCTGCCCACCACACTCGGCCTTCATGTACACCAGCAAGAGCTGCATCCTAGCCGGAGCAATCAACAATAACCGTGCTTGCCAGTACATACAGCAGACTGGTCCACTCTGTCCCACATCACATTCAGCTCTCATACGTGTCAATGGGCACTGAAGCATAGATCAACCTAACCAGCTCCACTATTCAGCTAACACACTGGTGGGTGCCACTGCCTGCCCCCAGTCCTGGTTCTCATGCACACCAGCAGGAGCAGCAATCAAAGAGAGAGGCTCCCACTCCAGATCTTGTACTCTCCAGGTAGTTCTGCAGTTTGGCTTGACAGGATTTGTCCCCATTCCCAGCACTTGCCAGCTGATGCTGCAGGAAAGCCCAACCAACCTGCACCCACTCTGCCTTATTCATGTACCAGTGGTGCAATCAGCCCAGCCTGGTTTTCCCCCTAACCCAGCTCACATGTAGGCCAACAGATGTTACAGCCCTTCCTGGTCTGGTCTGCCCCTGAGCCCAGCTTTCACACTCACCAGTGGGAACAGTAGCTCAACAGGGGAGCCCCTGTGGCTCCCCCTACTCGGCTCACATCCCCCTTTTAGAGGTCTTGTGTGTGCTGGTTGGGTGCTGTAGCCCAGTCTGGCATAGCCTGGTTCACCTCAGCATTTGCCAATGGGTGCTGTAGCCTGGTCTGGCCCAGCCCATGCCCTTATCTCACACTTGCCAGTGGGTGCTAGGCCCTTACCTGGAATATCCTGCCTCCTCCATTCTAGCCTTTGTATGAGCAGGTGGATGATGCAGGCCAGCCCATCCCACACTTTATTCTTGGGTAGACTTGTGGATACTGCAGCCAGGACCTGTCCAGCCTGTTCCCAGGCCCAACATCTATGAATGTCAGTAGGTTCCATGGTCATGCCTAGCTCGGCCCATCACTAAACCCAATTCTTAAGCTAACCAGTGGGAGTTGCAGTTCAACAGGGTTAAACCCACATATCCCCCACAGAATCTACTCCTAAACCTGGTTCTCTTGCATGCTGGTTAGTATCATTGCCCATCCTAACGTTACCCACCCCCTATTCTGACACTCAATGGAGGGTACTATGATCTAGCCCTGTCAGGAAGGCCCCCAGGCCTAGCTTTTGTGTGGGCTATGCTAACTAACCCAGTTCCATGCAAACTAACCCAGTTCAGGTCTTCCATGTGGACTAGTGCATTGGTCTGACCCATAAAGTTCCTCCGGCCTCTCCCCCCCAAACTGACAGGGCTCAGTCCCCTTGCTTACCTTCAGGTACAGTAGCCTTGTTGTTGGGAGTTCCTCAGGAGCCATTCCTCATCTGCAAGATACTCCCACAATGGTGCTCCCTCCCCTCAAATCCCCTGCCTCTTTCCCTAATCAATTCACAATCCTTGTGTCCAGGAGTGCATGGATTCTCCAGCCCAGTCTTTGGAAGCCCAGTGGGTGGTATGCTGGTTCAGAGCTCTGCCTGCCCACTAGAGTCCCAAGCTCCTGGCACATTTGCTGGCCTGTACCTTACCCCTCCCAAACACCCAGGATCCAAGTCAACTGAAGTTCTCCAGGGCTGGTCCACCAGCATAATGCACCAGCATGCTAACCTGGGGTTCTTCCCTCCCCCTGCTTACCTCACCCAGGACCAAGCACATGGGAGAAATTCCCAGGTTTGTGCCAGCTGCCTAGAGGTGAGCTCCCAGTCCCCATTTGCCCCACTGGCAATATGCCCCAGGCCCCCACAAGCCAATGCTACCAAACCCACCCCACACACTCCTTGTCAGCCCCACGTGGGAACAGCAGTAGTCATAGACTCCCAGTCAGCTCAAAATCTGCTTTCTAAAGCAGTCCTCATAACCCTAAGAAGTGATGTTCTATTGGGACCGGCACAGCGGCCTACACCCACACGGGAGACCTGGAACAAGCTCCTGACTCCTGACTTCAGATCAGCTCAGCTCTGGCCACTGTGGACATTTAGGGGAATGAATGAGCAGACGGAAGACCTTGCTCTGTCTCTCCTTCTCTCTGTAAATCTGCCTTTCTAAACAAAATTTTAAAAAAATTTTTAAAGAAGTGTTGCTCTATTATTTAATGTACTGATTTGATACATGTGCATTCAATACTGTAAGAAAATTAAGAGCAGGAAATGATAGGCAATTTTCGCAAGCAGATGCGAGGTAACTGCCCTAAAGAATGAAAGGCTACTACTCTTAACAACTAGTTGTCGTTTATCCTCAAACACAGATATCTCACAACCATTTTTGGTAGAAATGTGATGCTTAAGAATTCAAGGCATCTGGGCCCAGTGCGGTAGTGGCTAAAGTCTTTGCCTTGCATGTGCTGGGATTCAATATGGGCACTGGTTCTAATCCTGGCAGCTCTGCTCCCCTGCTTGTGGCTTGGGAAATCAGTCAAGGATGGCCCAGGGCCTTGGGAGCCTGCAGTCATGTGGGAGATCTGGAAGGTGCTCTTGGCTCCTGGCTTCAAGTTAGCTCAGCTATGGCCATTGTGGTCACTTGGGGAGTGATTCAATGGAAGGAAGATCTTCCTCTCTGACTTTACTCCTCTCTGTATATCTGATTTTCCAATAGAAAATAAGTGAATCTTAAAAAAGAATGTGAGGCATCTCAATATTTTAAGAAACAAAATATTTTTGAAAAATTTTAATGCCATAAAAATATTAAGACAGCAGGAAGAATTTTTAAATAACAACTGTACTGTGTAGAGCACAGAGTGACATTCCAATACACACAAACAACGTGCACTGCCAACACTTCTCCTTCTCTGACAACGTTACTTACTTTTTTATGTCCCTTACTTTTATCAATTTTGCTGAATAGATTTCATTCTTACAACTCAGTAATATTTCATTGCGTGTGTGTATAGATAGGTAGGCAGGTAGGTAGGTAAGTAGGAAGATAGACAGAACATTTTCTTTTTTCCAGATTTATTTATTTGGAAGGCAGAGTTACAAAGAGAGAGGGACAGTCAGGCAGAGACAGCCTATCTGCTGGTTTGCTCTGCAGATGATCGCAGCAGCTGGGGCTGTGGCGTCTGAAGCCAGGAGCTTCTAGGTATTCCACATGGGTACAGGGGCTCAAGAACTCTTGAGCCATCTCTCCTGGCCATCCTCTCTTGGGCCATCCTAGGGTGCACATTAGCAGAGCTGGATTGGAAGTAAAGCAGGAGGGACTGAAACCAGAAACCATATGGGATACTGGCACCACAGGCGGTGGCTTTATCCTCAACACCACAGTGCCACGCTCATCATTTTTCTTCATCTATTCACCTTCTGATGGACACCTTACTTTTTGGTTTTTGGTTTTAATTTTCATGATACAGCCCCACAGGGATTTCCCCTTCCACCCTCCCCATTTCTCCTTCCCCCCTCTGGTTTCCTCTATATTATTTCAATGGTATAGTCCTTCAACAGTCACAATGAAGGATACCTTGTTTGAATGCATATTTTGCCAACTGTGAATAGTGCTGCAATAAACATGGCACTTTCTCCCTGACATACTAATTTCATTTATTTTGGATATATATCTAGTAGTACACAAATAATCAATGGAAACTCGGGAATATGTAGATTTAACTATCTTTTTAAAATTTTTAAGTTTCAATTTTGATTAGTTTTAATGGGCTCAATGTGCTCTGCAGACTTAATTTTAAGAACATAATATTACTTTCCTTACTCCCTCCTTCCCACTCTATCCCCTCCTTCCTGCCTTGCCTTTCTTCATTTTGAAAGAGTTACAGAGACATACACATACACGGACGCACACTCACACACGTGGGAGAGGTGGGTCAGCTCCAGGCTCTGGGCTTTGGTCCCAGCCACACACGTGGGAGAGATGGGTCAGCTCCAGACTCTGGGCTTTGGTCCCAGCCACACACATGGATATGTGGGTCAGCTCCAGGCTCTGGGCTTTGGTTCCAGCCACACACATGGATATGTGGGTCAGCTCCAGGCTCTGGGCTTTGGTTCAGCCCTGCCCTGGCTATGGCAGTGATTTGTGAGGAAACCAGTAGATAGAAGATCTCTTTCGCCCTCTTTCCCTAACTCCACAGCTTAAATAAATAAATAAATAAATGTTGTAAAAAACCATTGTTAGAGCAGAAATTGAGAAGCTGCCATTATTTAATTTTTCAAAAACATTACTGCAGCATCTTACATGCAGGTCATAGGGGAAAACTGGTATTTATATCCAATTTATCTTCATCTTTCAATTACAGTCATTTCCTAAATCACTGAAATTAGCTTTTCCATCTATAATGATCAAGTTTGTTTCCCCACATGCCATCTTAATCTTTAATTCCAGTCTTGCCTTTTGCCAATATTTTTTCTCTTTGTGTTTCACTTTTCTCATTTGTAAAATACAGACAGAACGGCGAATGTCTCTGGCTTTTGAGAATGAAATGAACTGACAAAAGGAAAGCACTTTAAAAAAATGCCTGAAACCAAATGAGCATTCAGTAAGGGTTATTTTGAACTAACAGTCCTCTCCACAAAACACACAACAATCCAACATATCACAAAACTGCCTAATTCATGCTTCCTAATATCATCATCCACTGTACTTCCTTTTCACACTTACTATACTAGAATCATTCATTTTCCCAAGAAACTCACTTACATTACAAATCTAGGTCCTCTAAGCCTCTCCTCCTCACCATCCAAACACCTTCACACATTGAGCTCTAAAGTGTTAACGATTTCTCTCACTAGAGAACATTATTCAAGAAGTAAAGATTGTGTCATTGTCAATATTTCCTGAAGTTCTCATGTTCATTACATTTATTAACTGGTGTTACAGAAAATTTCTTTCCTATATTAAGCACTCAATAAATGCATCTGGAACACACATGTCCGTATATTATCTACATAAACTTTTTATACATGCAATACCTTACAGCTCCATTCTGATTACAACATTCTAGAAACATTACTGCTGGCATTCTGGTGTAGCATGCCACTCTTCCACCTGTGACAGCAGTACCCCATATGGATGCTCGTTCTAATCTGGGCCATTCTATTTCCAACCCAACTTTCTGCTAATGGCCTGGGAAAGCAGCACGACTAGGTCTTGGACCCCTGCACCTACATGGGAGACCTTGAAGAAGTTTCTGGTTCTGAGCTTCACACCAGCTCAACTCTGGTTGCTGCGGTGATTTGCGGAGTAAAGTAGTAGATGGAGGCTCTCTCTCTCTCTTTTCTCTCTGACATTCAAGTAAAATAACTAAATCTTAAATATACATATATAAATATCTCTGCAAGTATGTAAATAAACAAACAAATAAATGAATGAATGAATGTGTGTGTGTGTGTGTGTGTGTAAGACCTTCATCATACTCAGGAAATTTCATGCAGATTTTTAACTTCACCTACAGGTCTCAAATGACTAGTTTGTTTGGGCTTTTTTTCAGTTGTTGTTCATTAAAGGTTTATTATTTAGTTGAAAGGTGGATTTCTACAGACAGGGAGAAGTCTTGTATCTGCTACTCCACTCCCCAAATGGTTGCAATAGCCACAGCTGAGCTGATCTGAAGCCAGGAGCTTCCTCCAGGTCTCCCACATGGGTGGCAGCGCTCAAGGACTTATGCCATTCTCCATTGCTTTCCCAAGCTATAAGCAGGGAGCTGGGACCGAGGAGCCAGAACTCAAACTGGTGTCCATATTGGATGCTGGTGCCACAGGCAAAGGATCAGCCTGCTGAGCCATATACCAGCATTTCATTTGATTAATCTTCAGTGTAGATGAAACTATGAGAAATACAGAACTCTCATAGAATACTGGCAGTAGAAAATTTAATATATATTTTTTATAAGAAATACTTTAATAAGAGTGCTAAATTTTGTTATTGAATTTACCTTAATAACAAAGCATCTGCAAGAGAAACAAAAATTATTTGTACAAGAATGTTCATCATTCTCTTTATAATGCAGATAAATGGAAATTATGAATTACAGTTTTCATACCTCAATGGGCTCTTTCAGAGGTGTTACTGGTATTACTCTATTATGAAAAACACTACAATATAAATACATGTCATTGTTACCTAAAAATACATGCTGCAGTTACAATTACATAAAAAATATTATTTACATAAATATTCAAAACATTATAGAGTTTATATTTCTTGTGGGGAGCAGGGGCTAAAGCCATTCCTGGGATTAGGAGGGGCCGTCCCAAGATGGCAGCTGGCCCAGGGCCAGGAGGCAGGGTTGGTCTCACCAGCAGGTAAACAAGAAGTCTCAGGAATAGGCGAATGCCCCCACTGTGATTATATCATTGCTACTGGCCTATCAGTGCCAAGTAGACCCACGGGGAGAAGTGATTGGTGGAGAACTATACAAAAGTAGCCAGTAAAAGCTAGACAGATGGATGATGCCGGACTAGGGCGGACGGACAGAAGACTGACAACAGACGGATGAGAAAGACTGGGGGGGCGGGAAGAAGGGTAGCAGAAAGGAGACGGGGAAAGTACAAGAAGAATAAATATGGGAAGAAGGGTGGCGGAAATTAGGGCTAGAGAAGCGGCAGAGGAAAGCTTAGACCAATGAGGACAGGAGCAGTGGAGAAACGCAGCTGCTTTTGGCAATAAGGGGTCTGGTTGCAGATCCAGGTTTTCCCAGGCCCTCAAGAGTGTGCTTCGTTGTTTTTAGTGTCGCTGCTGCTGGGTGGCAGCGGCAATTTCTGAATGATTTCTAATACTGAAATACATATTTGTATAAGCAATTTTTAATCAAGAAAATATTGCACCACAAAAGACATTTAATTAAAAAGTCAGTAACACATTACAAAATGGCAAATACCTCTGGGTAAACTTCAAATATGGCGTATAGTCTATCACAGCAGGGAAGCTGCCATCCAATCCTTCTCCCTTTAGGCAGAAACTAAAACAAGAGAGAAGAAATGCTAGCATTAATGTAAAAAACTCAGATCAAAGGCAAATGTTACACACAATCTCTTAAGGAGACTTTTTTTTTCCATTAAATTCTAAGTGACATTTTTACTTGCCATTTGACCATTACTTTTAACAAATAAACACCTTAATAAAATATTCTGAACCAAAAACAATGACAAAACACTTAACAAGTGTTATACACAGGTACTGAGCAAAGTAAGATACACCAAAGTCTATTCGAATTTTATCTCTTCATTTGACACTATCTTGAAATCTCACTAGAGATTTTTCAAAGGATGATTTACTCTTTGTACATAGTAAAAAAATTTCTAAGATGACAATAGGTATTTCCTACAAATATCTTAATAGAAAATAAGGGTCTTTAAAACTCCGATTAAAAGACCTGGATCTTAGACTCGCTGATGCTAAAAATCCTCTAACCTCCACTGTCTGAGACCATGGGAACAAAGAAAGATTGGATTTTCCAAAGTCATATGGTGAGTGTTGTACCCCAAATCAGTAATCCTTCATTCTGTTTGACAGAATGCACAAAAAGACCATGGGTAGGAGAGAAAGGTGCTTGGTTTTAGGATGACCATTACAAAAAGAAAAAGGAAACACTCTGGAAAGATAATATAGGGCTATTTATAAAATATGGGTTGATACTTAGTAGGAAAGACATTCATATACAAATTCTCCCTCTCTGGTTTCTTTCAGAAGTTTGTCCTGACATTCTAATATCAAGGATACACATGCACTTTTCCAGATGTACGGAGGAAATCACAGGAGCAGCGCTGTATGCAGCCTTTCCGTCACTTACAGAAATGTTACTAACAGATCTTTGAGAATTCACTTTGGGTCAGCACACAGGATAATGGTATATAATAAACCAACAGCTATCTCAGGTTTTTACTATTTTTTTGTAAATAAAAAAAGACTTAATAGGATTTAGACAAAGCCAACAATATGCAATATTAAGAGAAAGATTAACCTCATACTCTATTCATCACATTCATCCCAATATTTCAAGTGGTTAACTTTATTCTAGTTTGCTAAACCTTATGTTAGATTTTAAAAGGACAAACATTCTGAAAAGCCAGCGATTTACTGTTAAAAGATAAATTCCATAAAAACATGAAGAATTAGTTTTAAATTTCAAGATCTGAAAGTAGATTTTTTTTAAGTTTCATATTTATTTGGTGAATACTCTCGAATTTTAAAGCTCTGTATTTTAATGAAACATGTTTCATTCCTGTGTTTAATTTTTCTTATAGACGTATCTTTTAATATAACAAAGTCTGGGATCAGTTAATGAAATGCAAAATGATGGTTCCATAAATTTATAAAGAAGCCACAACATACATGTTTACCACTTGTTATTTTCATCTAGAACCAGTTCACCTTGTTGGAAAAAAAAGTAAATACTTACACTACTATTTGATATTTTAGATTCATAACACAGAAACCAAAGTATGATATTGCATCAGAGTCTTCATCTCAATGTGATCCTAGAAATGAAGTTTTTCTAGGAGTGCATCTACTTGAAAGCTGAAGTCAAAAGGCACTAACAGAAATGACCAGGGACCGCAGCACGCTGTGCCCAAGCTTTCCTCCTACCCCAGAGAGCAAGCTGCTCAGTCGTTTGGGTTTCAGATCGACTCCTTTCTGAAACACAACCCACAAATCAAACCCCAACATGCAACTGAAAGGGGGAAAAGAAAGCAAGGAGAAACTACCATAAGAGAGAATTTAAAAATGGAACCACTTAGCTAAGTACCTGAAATCAATCGCATTGAGTCCTAGTAGCATGCCAGCCAGCATATTTGCTTCCTCACCCAAGACAATCGCTCCATCTTCATAAAATCTCCTAAAATGTGAAAAGCATGAATACATAAATATTAAGAACAGACCGAAGTTTGCTTTGGAGAGATCACCATTAGCTCATAATCACACAACAAAAGTTACATTTTACTTAACAAATTTGATCCTCAAATCTTGCACATAGTTAAGCTAATGAAAAGCACACCTGTCTTCCTAAGCATAAGCAGTTTAAGTGTTTCTATGTCTTTTAAAAAGAATCTCCACAGGGACTCACTGAGCACACGCTATGCAAGAACTTTCCCTCACAGGGAAGCACTCTAAATGTAAAGGTAAAGGTGGCCAATTCATGGATTTACACTGTCCTTCCAAAAGCATAGGGACTAGTTCTACATATACAACAAAAAGAACGTGTTCCTCTTAATTCCGAGGTTTACTGACAATGCTAAGACCCCAGATGCTTGACACTGTGATCTGTGCTTATCTCAATCCTGCATCGTTACTACAACAGACGAGCTATCAGGACAGTCACACACAAAAATGACCCACTCACTGTCACCTAGACACGAGCGTGACTGTGAATCGACCTTTGCTCATTCCAGGAAAGCCTGCTGTTTGAGTAATAATATTATAACACACTTCTGAAAAAATACCATAAAACTCTCATGTACCTAAGGTAATTTTTCCACAAAAGAATGTAAGATCATTGTACCAGTTTATTAAAGTACAGTACTCTACCAAAGCAAGCTTCTGTACCATCATGAGGTATCTCTCTACTCCCCTATTAACTAAAACAAAGACATTCTGGCAAATTTTAGTTTTGTTTTCATGAATTTGTAAAGGCTATAAGGCTGTAATATGTCATGAACATACCATTACTTTTGAATAACTCTTCACAGTTTACCAAGTACTTCTATTTAATACTTACAAAAAAGCCCAAGAAATAATCAACACAGAGGAGCTGTCCTTAGTTTCAAGTAGCCATTTGCACGGGACTTAACTTTATAGTTTGCCCAAGCTTATACAGATACATTACTCATGAAGTCAAAAATAGTCTTGAAGTTCTATGTATATTCTATTAAATCATATTTGTGGTGAAACAAAAATATTTAAAGACAATTTAACCAGTGTAATACTTTAGGAGGAATTTTAAATAAAGAAAAAAATAATATAAGGAGGCAAATAAGAGATGATTATTTGTCTTGGAACGGTGAAAGCCAGCACACAAACACCGGAGGGAAATGGAGCTTGGAGTCAAGGTCGGCTTCCTCAGACATAAGGGAATTGCTTTCACTGAATTATATAAAAGCAGGCGGGGGCAGGGAGCCAAAACCTTCTAGCCTAACAAAGATTTGTAAAACAAATGTGAGGATTAAATTCTCACGTTTCAAAGAAAGTTAAAGGTATCTAGACAAATACATATACCAGTACTTTAAAAAGTTCATGGAATTCTAACATTTATTTTGGTTCAGAAATGTTTTAAGACTTCTGCGATCAGGCACTTTTGCATTTTTTATTTCCTTATCTTTTCTTGATGCTAGAAGCCTGTGAGTGCTTCTCTTCCAGTTCCTCTCATATATAATAGTATATGACTTACATTAACACTACACAACAGACCGCTGTGAGCTACTGCGAAGCTGTGGTGCTGCACAACACAGGAAGTCTTTATGTCTGTGTTTCTGTATCTGTCAGCTAACCTCCCTCTCCTGGCCCCAGTCTCTACTAATCGCTGTTCAGATCAATATTCACTTGCTAGTTACTAACCCACATGAAAGAAAAAAAAAATGTATTATTTGCCTGTCAGTGTCTGGATTATTTCACTTGGTATGGTCATTTCCAGTTCCTCCTATGTAGCTGCAAATATCAGGATGTCATTTTTTGTGGCTATGTAATATTCGGCTCTCCATCATGTTTTTTCATCCATCAAAGGATACCTACACTGACTCCCTGTCTTGTCTGCTATGGATGTGACTATGAGACTGCAGCTCCCCACCTGACAGGCTGAGTTCCTTCCTTCAGACACAAACACACTGCTGTGGGGTCCTATGGTTAAGATCCACTTGTGGTTTTCTGAAGAACATCCACTCTACTGTCCAGTGGCTGTCTTCATTGGCATTCCTCCCAAGACTGTGTAAGGGTTCCCTTTTCTCCACAGCCTTGCTAATTATTTTTTTTTTGTATTTTTTATAACATTTATTGTAATGAGCGAGATAATATGTCACTGTCATTCTGATTTGTATTTCTGGTAGCTAATATTACTGAGCCCCTTTTAAAATAGTTGTCAGCCATTTGTATTTTTCCTTTTGATAAACATCTTTTAGATCCTTCGACCTTTTTTAACTATATTGCTGTTGACTTTTAGTTTTCATTAGATATTCTAGATATTATATGTATGTCAAATGGAAAGTTGGTGCAAAAACTAAATCTACAAATGCTTTCTTCATGAAACACATTTTCAATGGATTCTATCAAGATGCCTCATTTTCCCGAGATTTTTACCACCATATATACGGCCAAGTAGGCTGCTGTCAGAAGCCAGTACTGACTTCTGGCAAATGTGCTTATAGGTCCACAGAATCTATGGGGTTACCTGTTCTAGAAAGGAACTCTGGATGTGAGTGCTGTGAGTCACCTATTATTCCTAGCATCCCCTATACACGAAAAGGCCCCACTCCCTACCTGGATCCTACTATAGTTTAAAATTCTATTCTAGGAATCAGAATAAAATGATTCTTCATTACTTCCTGATGTGAACATCGCATTCAACACTGTTGAGGAATTACCAAAAATAAACAAAGCCTGAACTGGATTGAGAGATTTCTTTCAAAGTCTTAAAGGTCTTCCATATGCTTTTATTTTTTTTTTAAATGTATCAATTATTGCTTTAGTGAGTGTTAGGGAATAAGGAGACTTCAGTTTTATCCATAAGCAAGTAAAGTTTTAAAGCTACTTTTTAAGAGAAAATTAGATGCTTGCTATACATGAAATTAGTAATTCCACTCAAATAAAACCCTATCTCAAGTGTAGTACAGCCTCAATCTGCACAACATTATAGTTACAGGGAGGACAAAACAAATAAACTGTATGTTACACATGAAATCTTCTTGTCATTAGATTTAGTTATAGGGAAAATATATCTTTTTCAGAAAAAAAAAATATTCCTAAGTATTTAAAAAGGATCTGAAAGAACACTGGGTTGAACATATCTGAAAAGATGCTTTATGACTCAATCAAATACTTTAATTACTCATACGAATTAAAGAAGGAGACAGTTAAAAAATTATTTTCTTCTTCCCTTAACCAAACTGATATAACAAAGTTTGACTGAAATTTTGATTCTGTGTATTAGCACATTCTGAAACTTCAAAATTTCTACCATTTCATCTCAGAGAAAACTAAAATATTAAATGATGTTTGCTGTTTTAACTATGGTTATACACTCAATAGGTCAAGAACAAAAGCCAAGATAACTAATCCAATAATAGTAAAAATTTATTTCTTGTCTTAAAATATTTTTTGTTCCTAAGAAAATATTTTTATGAAAAAAAATCTAACCAAAAACACAAACTGAAATCTAAGAACACATCATAAATATTTAGCATACCAAGGTGAAAAATATGAAAGAAATTTTCTTTTAGCATTCACATTTTAGACTACATCTTCAGTTTTGCATTGCAGAACCAAAGCAGCCATCTGATATTATTGTGATCTAGAGGGAAAAAAATCTTCATTTTTATTAGCTATTCTTTCCAACAATTTGCATGTTGTTCAGGAAAACACTAGAAATTAAAAATAACTCTTACAACATACTGTTTCTATGATCACACATAATTTAACTCTAACTGAAGTCTGTCTCCATAATGCTATCATAGCTCATTCTATTTTAAGACTTTTCAGGTGGTTCAACAACGAACACCTTTGGGATGGAATCCAAGATGTAGATTAAGATATAAGTTATGCTGATGTTACATAATAAGTTTTGAATTTTTCTTTTATGGGAGTTCACAATTGCTTCACAAACTTAAAGTACAACATAAAAATAAGATAATGCTAATCTAACAAAACAAAATTCATTATCAACATTTTTGTTCTTTTATCCAATCTAATGTATATTCAAGAGACTACGGGGGGGGGTGCATAAAGAAATTCTGCCCTCAAGACAGGCAGAACTTTCTCAGCCACATGAATTATAAATGCATCTCCCATTCTGAAAATTGGATTTTCACTTTTTGATGGCATTTTAGAAGTAAAACATTGCAAACTAAGTTTCTGCCCAGCTTATCTGCTCTCTCTTTTGTCCCAATATTTTCTTTTCTAAGAGAGTAACACAATACTGGTATTAGATCTAGGAAACTATCTAATTCAAACAAAGATTGGCATGCGTAGCATTCCACAAGTACCTGGTCCCTGATTTATGAAGGATCAGCCAAGATTGCTCAACTTTATGATGGTAAAAAACCCCACACATATTCAGTAGGAACTGCACTCTGTTTCTGAATCTGCTCTTCCCCTGGCCTGGAGGTGTGAAGTACAGAGTGGGGTGGGAGCAGCGACAAGCGGCGGTCTGCGCAGATCCCACGGTTACCATACTTCCGGTCAGGATGATTCCACCCAGCTGGTGGCTAATGTCAGTGTTCTGAGCAGTTTTAAATAATCTAGATTAGGAGAATTAGTAGGTTGGACATCCTAGATGCATCTTCAATTTTAGATATTTTCAACTGACCACGGATTTATCAGGATCTAACTCACCCCGACTTGAGGAGCATGTTTATACACTGTGCTCTTCTCTACACAACAGGTACCTTTGATATTTAATTTATAAATCAGACAAAGAGATTAACAGAACAATGATAGCAACATATTTTCATAATAACAAATTACCTATTCCTTTATTTTCCTTTTAATATTTTTGGAATAAAATTGTCTGCAGGTAACTGAAGCTGTAGAAAGCCATCCCACAGGCCGGAGAGGGGTGGGTGGGTAGGGGCATTGGAAAGTATAACTTCTAAGCGTACTGAGATTATAAAACTCTTAGATTCCTGCCATAATCCAGCCAAGTATTACCATTCTAACTACTTTTTCTAAGATTCAGGAAGTGTTCAGCAAATCATACATACTTTTTGAAGCATGATAGTATCTTATGAAATTTTATACTTTACTTCTTCTCCTATTTATATGTAAATATTGACAAAATTAACATTTCTTCAGAGCATAATTTTAACATTACAAAATACATACTGGGAGGAAGCTCCAGGATCCTGGCTTTATCCTAGGACAGCTGCTGAAGTTGTGCCATTTAGAGAGCGAACTAACCAATGAAAGGGTTCTTTCTTACTTTCTAATTCCACCTTTCAAATATTTTTTAAAATAATTTTATCATTACACCTTATATTTCTATAACTTTATATTTGTCCATACTTAATATTTTCAATTCTTGCTGGAATATTTTCAGTTCTGCTTCAAAGATTACAACCTACTTAACTTTTCTGTCTTTCAGTCAATGGATAGCACTTTCAGTGAAGCGATTCAGCTTTTACTTCACTCATCAGTTACTTCTGGGTCTTTCCTTACAACCTACCACAGCAACTTGTTTTCACTCTCTCAGCTTCCCAGTGCTGGCTACTTGCAATGACACTACAATGTTTAAACCATGAAACTCTATACAGGACTTCTTCCTTCATTGCTCATAAAGCTAGTAAAAAAAAAATTGACGTGAATATTTCTGATTATGTGGAGCCATAGTCATGCATTCCTCCAGCTGATGGTCAGACCTACATATTAATGCTTTCCAGTGTGCCTGCCTTAGTTCATGGAGCTCCTCCTCCTGCACTGGGGGAACGAACACATGTGTCACCCTTAGGGTATTGTTACTCTTGAAAGCAAAGAGAACAGCAGAAATCTACCAGAATCGGATACTGTCAAGATTCCTGCAGGACTAGGGATTACCTCTGATCCCTGAACAAGGGTTACCTCAGGAAGCATTCAGATACAAGGTAAGATACAAACTCGATTTCAAATAATTACATCTTTAAAATATGTTTCGTTTCCTAGAACCCAGCAATGTATCTGCATTTTATTTGTATTTATGAAGTTTCTTTGATGTTATTTCAGCAAAAGATAATAAGTTACGGAAAAACAAGGTTGTGTGTGTGTGTTTGCTATTTACACTATTATTTTTTGCTGAAATAACACGCAGTCCCTGCAGGTGAGCGCAAGAAGCAAGGCAAGGAGCAGCCCAGACAATGCCAGGTTACATGTGGATCAGGTCTGGGGACAGACCAGTCGGGGCCAGCACTTAACACCACCGGCAGATCTGCGAACCAGGGCAGGGAGCAGAGGAGCCAGGTCATAAGTCTATTTTTTTCTTGGGAATTATAAATTTAAACATTATTATTAACAATTAGGTTCATTTAATAATATGATTAAATTCTGCTTTCCATTTTACGAAAATATTTTTATTTCATTACTTTTGTAGAGTTGAATCCAGTTCCTTTTTATCAAAAAACATGGCTAAAATTAAGTACAAGGCATAAAATATTTCCCTTTGTAAACAACTTCTTCTAAAACAACCAATTCAGGAATGATTTCTACTCCACCCATTAACTGAAACCAAAAAACAAGACTAACCACTTAGAGAGATTATTCATGTCTTAATTCAAGTTAAGAAAACACAATCATAACTTTGCTGTAATATTGTGATAATATAAGAGCTGATTATTGTGTAAGCTTTGCTTTGGATTTAGTAAGATTTCTAGGTTTGAGTCACTAGATTATAACACTAAGCTCTATTTTTATTTTCAAAGATGTGGTGTTGTCCATGCCTATTATCTTTCATAATTAAATTTATTTATTAGTAATCACAAGCAAATACATCCTCTTAAAAGGTTCACTCCAAAGATGTAAGCTCACTGTCACCTTTTGTCTTTAGAAAACAGCCCTAGAGTATCATGTTGCTTGAAAAGAATTCAGTGTATGTATCTGTCATATTTTACGCAAATGTTTTAGTTACAGGTCTTTCTATCCTGACTAGATTTATAGTCAATCATGATTTTCTGCCTCTCCCAAATTACATGCTTAGTATCATGTACCCTACAAAGATGGTGGCATCTAAGTAAAGACACTGTAATTGGTACCAGCTAGTTTACTCAAAGAATGTTTCTTACAGACACCCAACTTTTCTTAAGATCCACGGCACAGAAGTTTAGATTCCAGATAATGATTTCTCTACAGAGAACTGCTTTAGTTTTTACCATGTTCTTCTTTTTCCAAAATAGAAGAACAGCAAAGTACGGTAATTTAGAAGTATTTAAGAGTGCAGCGCCACCGAATTTTCTTCAGTGAGGAAAATGTTTCATGTACATGCTTTCCAGTTTGCTGGCCATAAATTTTGCATGATTCTTGAACACCTAAACTGTAATGTATCAACTTGGGAGCTAAACAGAACTTTGTGCAATTCTAACTAATTTTATTCACATAGTGGCATGTCACTAGTGGCAGTGGACAGTGTGTGCTTGAGATAATGAAATTATAAAAGATTTCAATTCACAAATACTGTAGATATAGAAAAGACTGGCTCATTCAGTGACAACTATAGATGCACAGACAGAAGTAGGAATGACTACTACAGTAACATGAACCTTTTTTTTTCTAACATCAGAAGGAATCAACAAAGTCCTTTCTTTCACAAGGTACAGTATTTCATCTAAGAAAACAACATTATTATGGACCTCCTTGCAAAGACAATTAAGCAATGATTAATCACACATGAATACAAGCACTGCATGATTCAATGATTCATGAGAATTTTCTATAAGTAACCTTGGTGGTATAAAAAGAGGAAGATGTTACAGCAATTTTGTACTTTGATTTCCAAATTGGTCATGGAAAAGTCTATAGGCAGAATGGAGCTTCAAGTGCTCCAAGTGTGACAAACAGAAAAATGATATTACAGGAATAATCTGTATCTTTCTACATAAACCAATGTAGATGCATGTTGGATTGCCAAACTGTGTTTTCCTGAGAAGACAGTGGATTTTATCTGAGTAAGAAAGGGAAAAAATAAAACAGACAAGGGCTATAGATTCTCATATTTTGATTTCTAAATCTTTTAATAACTTTCAAATAATTAAAAAATGCAAAAGACTTTGAAACCTGGTTGTCTTGAAGTCCCTCAGAGCTGTAGAGATGTACTCAGATAAATGCTTTTCCATGAGGGCTACTCTGATCCAGGCTCTACCCTAAAAGGAAGAAAAAATAATTAGATATAAAAAATTATATTTTAATTCAATGTGTCATCAAGAACACAAGCATTTTAATGTGCAAAAGACTCATCCAAAATACATATTTGACAAAACTAAGAAAACTATCTTAATTAAATAAAATGGGTAAATGTTGCTATCTAGACTGCAGGGTTGGTTTCTTGGAAGACAAAAGGTACAAGTACATTTAATACCTTCTAAACAGACAGCACATTAGCACTGTTACCTGAGTTAGACTTCTTTTCAATTCTATAATAAAATCATTAACATTAAAACCCAGGTCATACACAGATTAGAATCCTCCTATAAAACATTAGGAAAAAAGAAAATTTCCCAATCTTTCCACAGAGTTTCCTACAACTAACAGCTAGCTCAGTTTCCTGGCTTATCAGGAACCCAAGGCCTCACAGAGAATTCTTTTTCTTTAAAGATTTATTTATTTTTATTGGAAAGTCAGATATATAGAAAGGTGGAGAGACAGAAAGATCTTCATCTGCTGATTGACTCCCCAAGTGGCTACAACGGCTGGTGCTGCGCTGATCCAAAGCCAGGAGCCCTGGATCCTCTTCCAGGTCTCCCGCGTGGATGCAGGGTCCCAAGGCTTTGGGCCATCCTCAACTGCTTTTCCAGGCCACAAACAGGGAGCTGGATGTGAAGCAGGGCCGCCAGAATTGGAACCAGCGCCCATATGGGATCCTGGAGCTTTCAAGGTGAAGACGCTAGCCGCCAGGCTACTGTTCAGGGATCCTGCTTCACCTTTTTCATTAAATAAGACATGTTCTTGCAGGTGATTCCAAGTACCCGAGCCAGGCGTCCCAAGCATCACCTGATCCTCCTCCTCTGGGGCTCACAAACCCAGTACCCACTGCACCCACTTAGTAGGCAAGCCCCAAGACTAAAGCTAGGCGACTGAAGTCTGTAGAGTCCCCCACCCCTTGGGCTCCCAAATCTGGCACCCTTCTCGCAGGTAGGCCACAGGACCTAGGCCAGGTGACCCAAGCCCTGCCATACCCCCACCAATTCTCCCATCCCCAGGTCTCAAGAACCCAACCCTCTCGCCCTCACTCACACACGGGTAGGCCCCAGGACCTGATCAAGCTACCTGAGCCCTGTCAGATCCCCCGTCCTGGCCTAGTCTAGTTTGCCTCCTGTTGTAGCTCCTGCTGGTGGGTGCTGCAGCCTGTCCCAGCCCAGCCTGACTGCTGTCCTGGTCCTAATCCTCTAAGTAAAACTATTCAATCACTGGAAGTAACTAATATCTTTTAATACTCTAAGTCATTTCTTGAAGACACTATTTTTTAAAAATATACAAGATCACACTTATTTTGAGGATCCTATAATTAATTTTCATTCAACTGTTATACAAATATCTAGAAAAAATCATGAAGATTGAATAGAGAAAGTTGAAAACATTGTGAGGCAGTTGTTAACAAAGGTGGCATTGAGCAGTATACATGATGGTCAATGACTAAAGGAAAAGAAACATACCCTCCAGGAATGTGGGCTTGTGAATTCACTAAGCTCATACAGCACAGCTCAAATGCTTCAAGTCAGTCAGCAGTAAAGTTTTGTAAGGGCAGAGGCTGCTGCTGCGAGGAGAGTGAAGGACACACAGCAGTTGGCATGCGGTGCATCTGCCAAGCAAGCACACCAGCCCCGCTAAGCTTGTCCTGTGCTCAGCCCCTCTCCTTTGTGAGTAATCCTCAGGAACTGCAACTGGCTTCCTGCAACGGAGAAATGGAGAGGCACCAGTGCCTGACACGGACTCACCAGTAGCCTCAAGATTCTCTCTTAAAATGTCATCTAAAAGACAAAATCTAACAGTGATGTCTCCAGTCAAAGGCTACAACTTGACCATTACAGAAGCAAGGATGGCTGCTCTCCAGAGGAAATCAGGCACAGGAGACTGTGCTGCTAGATAAGAAATCTGGGGAAAGTCTTGCTTCCTGATTTATTAATTTCCATCTACACAAAACCAAGCTGCACTTACTTGTACTTTCCTGTCCTTGGATGTGTGTGGACATTTCTGTTATAGTGTGATAATAAACTATGCTAATTTTGGCAGTTTCTTTTCAACAAAAGAACTTTTACTAAAACAAAACACAGGCTTATAAAGGTTATTAGGGACAAGAAGTGGGAAAGCTGAACACTAGGTTAAGGACTATACATACTGATAATGGTGAACCACTGATGATTCTTGCAAAAACAAACACAGCGAATGTGCTAGGCCCTGACAGGCAATCCTGTGAATATTACCTTTACTTTACCAGACAGAAACAAAAATTAGACACAATTAAGAGAAGAAACTCATCCTCCATCAGCAAAGTATACTGCCCAACCCAACGGCATGGACACCCACATATTCTACCTTTCTTCCTATTTCTGCAGATGAAACATCATCATTTAAGAGGGTAAAAAGCAAAACATTTTCATCAATAATGCACAAAAGAATTCTTAAAACTGTAAGGGAAAAAAACACGATTCTACTTAAAAACAAATCTAAAAGAGGAAGATTTTTAACAACAGGTCCAATCTTTCAACAGATAGCATAATTTCAGATCTTTATTCTCTGGTTCACTCTCCAAATGGTTACAACAGCCAGAGACGGCCTGACCTGAAGTCAGGAGTCAGGAGCATCTTCCTAGTTTCCCACAGGGGTGCAGAGCCAAAGGCCATCTTCCACTGCTTTTCCAGGCTATAAGCAGGAAGCCCAATTAGAAGTGGAACAGCTGGTACCACTGTATTAGTCACCTAGAAAAACATGTATTTTTAAAATTTTATCTTTGATGATAGTTACATAGGTGACCAGGGTGGGAAGGGTCACAGATCAGGGGACAGTGGGTGAGACCATTGTTTATACATTCTCTTTGTCTTCTCCCTGTATATGGAGAAGAGGGGGATACAAGAGAAGAAACCTAACCACTGCATTACCCGGGGGATGGGGAACTGCCACCTGATGTCATCCCATTGTGAAACATTTTCTCAGGGTTCCACTCATGTGGTTTCAATAGTTTGAGATGCCACTTCAAGGATGAGGAAAACAGAAGTGAAAGAGCTGGGACCACTGTACTGGCCCCCTAGAAAATTTTAACGTATGTGGAGGTTGGCTTCTTTGCTCCTAATATTGACAGCTGAATTTTTTTTTAGTCTTGTTAGAAGCTTATTAACTACATTAATGTTTTTAAAAACAACTGATGGCTTGCTAATTTCCTGAGTGTACATTTGTCTCAAATCACTAAATTTCAGATTTTTTAAAGAGTATTTCTTTGTGTCTACTTTTGTGGTTTTCTCTGAAACCTTCTATTTGCTATCTGTATTTTTAAAATGAAATATTTTGAGAGAAAATGCAAGTGCTGGCTGGGACTGGGTAAGACTGAGACCAAGGACTGGGAACTGGAAAATGAATGCAGGACTCAATATGAATGGCAGGGACCGTTCCTTGCATCATTCCTGCACTATACAGACTGCCATAGCAAGACTCTGAAGTCAGGAGCTGGAGCTGTGCACTGAATTCAGGCAGTATGGTAAGCGATGTGGGTGTCTTAAGCAGCACCCTCAGCGCCAGGCTAAACACCTTTGTTTCTTTTATTCAGCCTTTATAGCTGTCCTCAGCAGAGGAGTCCTCTAAACTTAACCTATTCTGTCGGTGTTAGAATTGGAACTGGATTTTTTTAAACTCCCAGATCACCTGCTTGATGACTTCACTTATAACCCATATAACCTACTCACTAGGATCTCTTTTTCATTCCTCCCTTCTACAATTCTCCATACAACACTAATTATGTAATTCAGATTATAGCATTCTACTTCCTACAATGTAATACACAGGTAGCTCCTACCTGTATTCGTTCCTTTATTATCTCATTCCCTCATTCATTCTCTCTATTGTAGACACACACAGACGCACACACATTCACACACAATACACACACATACAGACACAGACACACACATATACACACACAGACCCAGATACACACACAAGGGTGTTTCAAAAGTTGGTGGAAATACAATCAAAAGTTAATTTTATGCAAAACATTATGAACGTGAGAAGTCTTCCTAAACTTCAAGGGATGCATATTACTTAAAACTATGAATTTCAAAAGTTTTTGCACAAAGATAAACACCTTTTAACATTATTTTCCAGGAACTTTCTAAAGTACCCTAGTGAAAATTTGTTTACTATATTACTAAAATGTAATAAACATAAAATTTCCCCTTTGACATATTTTCACCATTTGCCCCAATATTTGTAACAGTTTCTGGCATATAGCAGGCACTGAATATTACTTGTTGAATAACTGGATAAAACTGAAGAACATGAAAGACTTGATCAGAGCTACTAACAGCAGAATCACCAGAGAAAAGCTTAAAGAATGCAATAATATAAACAGGATTTCAGGAAGATTCATCTGAACCTACTGTTTGCAATGCATGGTATAGAAAACAAAGAGGCAGACACAAAATATCTTTAGTTTCTGCCTAGGAATCTTCAAATTTATTTTTAAAGTTTCCCAACTCTTTCTGACATTCTTCCAGGTTTGGAATTTTTTTTAAAAAAGGCCAATTACTGTTCAACAAAGTGGAAAGCAAGCTGATAAAATCAAGAGGGCAAGGGAGGAATGAGGATGTATGTCCTGAGAATGCATTAAGGCCATATGCATAGTTCTGACATGACTGATTAGACAGGAAGTTACATGGGTATACGAATGGTTGATGGGACTTATAAATTCAGAAACTGACTCAATATTAAACTGAATCTACAACATACACAACCACAAATAAGGAAAGCCAACCCAACCTAGATAAAATTGAGCATGGTTTTTAAGAAAAAAATAAGAGGGGGTTGGGTAAGGTCCATATAAAATATACAGGAAAGTAGAAATAATTCAACAATAAAAAGCTCATATTTTGCAGTCAAGAAAATGAAAAAGGAAGGGAAAAATTGGATTTCTACAACTTGAAACCAGGAGGAATATAAAAACAACAACAACAATCCACTGGAAGTACTTACATGTCAGTAGTAATAACTAAGGATTCAGTTAGAGGTGGCTCATGTCAGAAATAACAGACTACACTTATAAGCAATCAGCTCATGGGTAGCTGGCAAAGAATGGTTCTGAGAGCTGATTCTAGTCTGAAACCCAAAATTTATGATTAGAAACAGTGTTTCTGAATTCTTGCAGGTGGCGAAAAGAATACTTTAAACGCCCTACAGTCAGAAAGAAAAAAAGTCATGGGATCTTGGATTTAAATACCCTATTCCACTGTCCAGCTACTCAGGTCTTCCAGCATAAGCTCAGCTAGTCCCAGACTAAGCAAGAGAAATGTCTGTATTTCATAGATTTTAACATGGAGAGAGAAGTATAAGGTCTCTCATAGTAGCCAAGTTTCTACATCATGAATGTAGGTGATACTGTAGCATCAGACACTGATAATTCTGATTCTACCAAATCAGTTTAAAATTTTCTATATCAAATTAGTTTTTATCCCACTGTGTAGCTAGCTAGCTATGTCTTCTTTTGCTTAAACAGCCATCTCCAGAACTCTAAAACTGCACAAACAGCAGATCCACTGTCTTTTTTATAGAATTAACAATAGAATGGTTTTGGCCAAACTGCAGTGAGTTATGGGCTGTTTGTCAGTTGAGTGTGTCAAGACTGGATAACCATGCTGGCCCTCACTCAAGATCCAACGACCCTGGCATCTGAGGCATGCAATTCATTCCTTCAACCCTGACACCAGGCAAGTGTGCATTATTGAGCAGATTGAGTACTTGTTCATGATTAAGAACAGAATTAATTCTTGCTGAAAGCCTTTACATAGCACAACTCGGCAAATCATAGATGTCTATTTCCCTACTACCTGGAGTTGATCAAAGGCCTCAACAGGAACAAGGCAGAAATGCAACAACTGGAGCACACCTATTCTGCCGTGTTTTGATTAACAATATTGATTTTTTTAAAAAACAAAATAAATATTAACTCTCTGCTGGGCAATATTTTGTGATGCAGTTCCAAGATCTTCCACAGGAGAGCTGGTCCAGCCTGCAGCAGCCCTGGGCAGGGTTTCTTTCATCCACGCTGGTCTAGATGCTACACTTCAAATGTTTAACTTCTCAACTACATCATGTACCTTGGAATACATCTGTTCTAAAAATACATGCTCTCCTCTATTGAAGGGCTTAAGAAACACCTGTCATGGTCTGTCTCCTACTCCTAACCTGAACATGAGCAAAGAATGTCCAGGTGCCATCTAGGATACCTTTATTTTTATAGATTTGATTCAAATTACAGCTGTTCCTTCAATCTAAGCCTAAAGAAAAACCAAGATGTTATTCTTAAACCATAAGGAATCTGATGAAAATTCATATAAAAGGAAGTTCAAGTTGTAAAGCTTAAAAAAAAATTGGGGATCAGCACCATGGTCAGCTAATTTTCCACCTGTTGTGCCAGCATACCATATGGATTAATATAAACATTAAAGTAATCAGAAAAGCCTTTATGTATTGGAAACTCAAGCTTCAAGTAGTGAATTCAAGTCTTGCAAAAATTCTGGCTTTTATTTAAGACCTTAATTTTACCAATGGCAACAAACACTGGAAGATTTCTCCTTGAAATAATAGGATTACTTTTCATTTTATTTTTATGAAAATGTCTGTCAATTGATTACTCTTAAAAAGATGCTTTTGCTTTCCAGCAAGATAATATTACAAAAAAACTGTCTGCTTCAGCTCGTAAGTCACACAACTGCACAGTGTCTTTCCTGAGGTAACAACTTCCTTCAGCAGGCCACAGAAATGCTGAATATACATTTTTCATTTGCCACCTAAGACAGTTGAGAGACATGTACTCAGAACCACATCAGTAAAGTCATTCTTCGAGTGAAATTAGCGTCCATAAGTTTAATGACAATGCAATAACTGGTGCTAAGAAACCAGCAGTTCTACCACCATTGCTTCTGCTTCAGAAATGTAAATATCAGCACAATGGGAAAAAAATAAGGTGTATGCATCATACGAAAATAGTTTCAGCACTGCAGACACCTAAAAAGCACTTGGAGCCTGGTGTAGTAGCCTCGTGGCTAAAGTCCTCACCCTGCACACACCAGGATCCTACTTGGGCACCGGTTCAAATCCTGGCAACCCCACTCCCCTCCAGCTTCCTGCTTGTGGCCTGGGAAACCAATCGAGGATGGCTTTGGGATCCTGTACCCACGTGGGAGACCTGGAAGAGGCTCTGAGCTTCTGGCTTCGGATCAGCGCAGCTCTGGCCATTGTGTCTGCTTGGGAAGTGAATAAATGGATGGAAGATCTTCCTTCCTCTCTCTCTATCCTTTCTATATATCTGAATTCCAACTAAAAATAAAACAATTCTTTAAAAAGGAGAGAAAGCTCTTGGACATTCCTAGAGTTTAGCCAAACACTGAGCTACTGAGTGTAAGCTCCTGAGCTTACATAACTCAGGAAATGTAGAAACATCACAGAACAAGAAATATTTAGTTGGGCTTGGTCAAAAGCAAACTAAATAAGTAGTTCACACCCTCCTGCTATTTGAAATACAAGAGTGAAGACTCAAGCACATTCTAAATAACTAAAGCAATGACCTGCAATGGAAATAAAAAATGTTAACAAATCTCTGAGATGTCAAACTAGGTTAGGTACATAATCTCAACACAGAAAACAAACACATACAGAGGGTTCAAATTGAATCAAAACCACCTGGAATGAGAACATCACGCTGATTCTTTTACATCTTACCTTAGCTCTAGATGAACTGACATTTTCCATGTTCTCAATGCTGCAGATGCAGTTCTGTGAGACTTTGCGGCAAGCCACTCTGATATAGTCCCAGAAGCTCCGAGGACTTTCATAGCCAAACCAAGTGACTTGACCTTCAAAAAAAATTGCAGCAGGATAAAATAAAGCAAAAAAAAAAAAAAAGAAGAACCAATTCAAAGTTTAAGAAAAATAAAATCACAAGAACAAGAGCAATATGCTGCCATGGAAAGAGCACTGATGGTGACATCTTAAACTTCATCCTCTTCAATCCTGGTTTTCTCAACAAGAAAACTAAACTGAATAGAGTAAAAAGGGGACTAGACACTACAGCTCCCTTGGAGTTTAACACTCTGTTATCTAAGTCTTGTAGACAGTGCATAGAAAACTGTCCTCCTGGTTCTAGGCAAGCAGTAACTTAAATGTTGCAGTTAAATATAAACTCCTTCCACTGCAACAGGGGAAAGTGATATCACTCTTTTCATCCTCTTCATAGGGATATGCCAAGGAAGTCAAATAATGTATGGTCATTAGAACGAGGAAAGCAGCATTCTGCATCCTGTGGCCGTTGGTCATTCCACCTAACCATTCTCATTTGTAAAGTACTCCACCACAGTCACTCATCTGCTGTCTTCTAGTCACCGCCCCGTGGCAACTCTACAAGCATTTACTATTGGGATTTCTGATATGTGGTTACCTAGCTATCTGTTCATGACCAGATGCTCTATTATATACTTGTATTAGAACTAATATTTCTATGCAGGACTCTGAGTATTAGTTTCATGATAACCATTTTGAATGGTTAATATATTTTGAATACTAAGTTTATTTCTGAGATTTAATCATGTGAAAGTGACAACAGAGGGGAGACAGAAAGAAGAAAGAAAGAATCCAGGAGAGACAGGCAAAAAGTACACACATCTTACACGTTTCATTCCTCAAATGCCCACAAGAGCTGGGGCTGGGCCAGACCAAAGCAAAGAGCCAGGAACTCCATCCGGTTTCCCACAAGGGTGGCAGGAACCCAACTATTTGAGTCATCACTCACCTCCTGCCAGATGAATTAGCAGAGCATTAGATGGCAAGCACAAGTGGGACTCAATGCCAGGTACCCTAACCTGGGATGTGGGCATCCCAGCTTAAGCTATGGCACCACAACACCCACTCCACCACCATTTAGCATTTCTTAATGGGATACCGGTGTTATCTCAATACCATCCTCAGTTGTCTGGAATTATCACTTTTATTTAAGTGAACTGTTTAATCTTAATAAAGAAAAATTTCCCTTTTTATTTTTAAATAGACACTTATCCAATCTAAGTAATTATTCATTTATCTCAGATCTTTCTTTCCCCCCAAACAACTTCTATCCAACAACAGAAGAATGCTTGTCAGTAAGCACCACTTTGACAGTAATGACTGAGAATGAATGTGGTTCCCACGCACGGCAGCATATTAGAATAATGCTACTGCTTTTTAAGATGTTCATTCCTGGACGCCCCCAAAACTGAAGCATTAAAATCCCAAGGGCAAGTCCAGACACTGGTATTCTCATCAAAATTATTCCTCATTTTGCAACCTGGCAACTCATGGCGGACACCAGCTGATCAGCTCCCAGAGGTCTGAACGGCCTTCTCACCTGGTAGACACACATGACTTGACAGTCCCAACTGTCAGCACACCAGCTCACATGCACGACTCGTCCTCATAGTTGCTTGCTTTGCTTGTTTTCTGGACTGCCTCATCTACTAGCACTATCTCATCTGTTGTTAGATGAATCCCCCACACTTGATATGCTGTTTGGCTGAACGTGATCAATCAACACACAGTTGTTGAACAAATGAGTTGGAAAAGCAGCATAAAATTTTTTAATTGCAACGTACGAAAAATGTGAATTTTTCAAACCTCCAATTAGTATGCATTTATAATACCAATTTTGATCATTGTATGGAATGATGGTATTCTGCATACTAGATAACAAGCAAATACTTCAGACAAATATGTCCAACGTAAGAACACCTACAAATCCTTATTCAAATAATCGTATAACCCAATACCTCTGTCAAAATAAAATCTTACTACCCACAATTGAAATCTGTAAGAATACTGATAATCTCCCTTCTTTCTTTGAGTCTCTCCTCATCACTTTCTACCCATCTTGCTTGCAAAAAAGTTCCAGGGGAAATGGGTGCTTGGCATGGTGGCTGAGACTCTGCTTAAAACACTCCTGTCCCACAGGCTCCTGGTGTCACAGCTGCAGCTTCCTCAGGCCCTACTCCAGCAGACCCTGAAAGGCAGTGATGATTGCTTAACCTGCTCCTAGCTTTGTTCCCAGCTCCTGCTTTCAACCTAGCTCAGTCTCAGCCATTGAAAGCATGGGGAATATGAACAAGTGCGTGGGAACTAGAAGTTCTTCACATCGCCCCTGCCCCCAAAACAGTACTAAAAACAGCTCTTGCTACAAGACTTCTACACACTTTCTCTTTAACATACTTCTTGTGTCAATAATTTGTTGTTCATTTGGAGGAGGGAGCAAAATGCTTAGCAGCAAGAACAAGGGAATTTTTAAAGATTTATTTCAATTATTTCATTTCAAAGGCAGAGTCACAAAGAAAGGGACACCAAGAGAGGGAGAATCTTCCATGTGCTAGTTCACTGCCCAGATGGCCAAGCCAATCTCAAGCCAGGATCTAGGACCCAACCAGGATCTCCTGACCCACCATGTCTACCATGTGGGTCAGGAGCAAAAGGAATTGATTCTTCCTTTGCTGCTTTTCCAGAGAAACGGATCAGAGGCCACGCAGCCAGGACATGAGTTGACACCCACATGGGACACCAACGATGCAGGCAGATGATCAGTTGACTATGTTACCGTGCTTGCCCTAAGAAAACAGTTTTTGAGACCAGGAACTGAGGACATGAATTAGGTAAACTTCCAGCTATTTGATTTGAGAAAATGGTTTAAAATCACTTTGTAAGTGTAAGCTTCTCCTGTACAATGAGTGTATCTGAAGCACTACCTGACAGCAGACATGTTGCAAAGAGCACAGCTTTAGTGCACATCAGGAACGACACAAAAGTCAATTAATGCAGCTGTTATTATTGTTATCACACAATCCTTTAAGGGAACCAAGTACCCCTTTTTAAAAATTTTACTTACTCATTTTCATTGGAAAGGCAGATTTACAGAGAGAGACAAAGATCTTCCATCTGCTGGTTCACTCCCTACATGGCTACAATGGCCAGAGCTGAACTGATTTGAAGCCAGGATCTAAGTTTCCTCCAGGTTTCCCATGTGGGTGCAGGGTCCCAAGAGTCTGGGCCATCCTCCACCTTCTCATTCAGAAGCATCTGCATTAGCACAAGTGGAATTCACCAGGTTCTCAGGTGAACTATTATCCCAAAATTTTATTTACATAATTTCTGCACCTACAAAAAATGTACTTCAAGTATTAAACTGATTAGCTGAGATACTATCTATCACTTCTGATTAAACAGAGTAACCACTAGTAAGTCTACAACCAGCATTCAAAAGGAAGATACAAAGCACATGCTCATTATATGTACCTTAGAAATACTGAAGTGATAATTATTCAAAAGACATCTTCAGTTTCTTTACAAGAAGGTATAAAAGAAAATTAATAGTAAAAAATTGATTATATCTTGGAGAAAGTTTACTCCAAAGAGATAAGCTGTCACAAATCTCTTTTTAAAGGTCTTAATGAATACAAGCATATAATACTCTTACAATTTTAAGTGTTCTTAGATGTTGACTTTTATCAATGCCAAAGTTAAACAAGCTTTACAAAACATATTTTTTACCCAACACTATAACCTCAACTCACTGCAGGCACACTGAAGGAAGTAGTAAAAAGTTTATCAGACCAAAAATCCACTACCAACCAGCCTTGTGGTCTCTTGCCCATTTTTGCCATTTAAAAATAGCCTGTTATCTTCAGGGTCTGAAGAGACTCTCAAACTCCTCTCTCACATTCCACCAGTGAAGCCACTATTTACATTTCACAATACATTTGCGTTTTGCTTCTAATCTGATGGCCAGAAAGAAACCTTCAAAGAACAGGAAACAACATCTCTAAAGTGGCTGTCTACTGTGCAGCGGCTAATGACTTATCATCTTTTCATAATGTACTATGAAATATAAATGAATGTGTTCAGTGACTTCCTTTCTCCACCATTTGAAATAGTGCTTAGCCACTTGAACCATAACTGCAAAGCTGTTCTCATCAACTGAAGCTCTTTAGTGCTACAAAAATCTGCTCAAAGTTTGTTCACAAGATGTATTTTTCAATGACTCCACAGGCACAGATTTCTACATTTTTAGGGGCAGATAATTTTCTACAATACCAAGGATTACTGCCTAGGAGCTACTTTTCATCAAGATAATCAGCAAACACCAAGCTGATCCCACCAAAGGTTAGTAAGTTGGTATCACTGCAAAAATATTCAGACACTTAAAGGGGAGTGGTTCCTTAGAGACTTAGCTTGCCTCTGAATTAACATTAAGATATTTACCTTCCAATTTCTCACTTGCAATGTTGTAGCAACAACACCAAAATTTGTTACTGCTAATTTAGAGAAACCACTTTACTCTTCTCTACTTACTATCTTCTTATTCATTGAACAGCAATGATGTCCATTTCTGTAAGAGAGCTCAATCTTTTCCTTTACAAAATAAAGTACTGTTGTTCCTAAATGAGGTTTACATTGGCAGGACCATCCAACTTTGAAGGTTAAATGCTGAAAATGATGAATTTCCTAACCAAAAGATCTTATTCTACTTTTTTAAAAAAGTGAACACTTGAAAATAATTTTGGTAGCGGTTTCTATAGACTCTGAAGTCAGGCTCCAGCAGAGTTCCTCCCCTTGGCAACTTCACTTGGCCCCAGCAATCAGTCATCCGTCCTGGACGTGCATCACTCGTCCCGTTACTGAGCTGCTAACACTGAGTTCACCAGAAAGCAGGAGAGCACAAACACACATCAGCACAGAGTGACACCGCACACCATGAAAGTCAGTCTGTTCCTAAGTGAAGACAACCAGGCCCACCAGAAATTGAATTGACTTCCTCTCATTTTTTTACACAGTAATTTTTCCA